AAATGGTGAAAGTCAAATGGGGGTTTCAATTTTAAACGATGAGTTTTCGTCATGCTAACATTTATATCATTACATTGTCACACACAAATACGCTACGGACCAAGGACAACAGATATCGTCTTCAAACTTTCAGGAAACTGTTATGGAATGATATTTTACAAATGAGTGAAGAAAAGGGATATGGTCAACAAATATCAGACTTCTGTCCAAATTTATTCACAAATCAAAATAAGCGCTCTCTTTTGTTGGCGTTTTGAGGTATCAAATCACATCACGTGACCTTGCAATGTTCATCAAAAGAAAGTTCATATATTACCCTTTTGAATGATACATAGTACAATAATGTAGTACATCAACAAAAATGTCTGCATTTTTTGGAAAATAAAATCTTGAACAAATTAACATTACTGCAAAATAACCTCAGCAGTTGCTGATACCTGAAAAAAACTGAAAATTTAACGGTCAAAAACGTGTACCAAATGCCACTTTTTACTATTAAAACTTATGGCAGGTTTATAAATATGGTGGCCCTGAAGGGACATCGTGAATAGACTAAATCGTGAAAAATATGCGATAAAATTCACGATATCGTCAATTTTATCGCATATTTTTCACGAAGAAATTCACGAAATTGACGATATCGTAAACTTTATCGTGAACTTTTCACGATGAAATTGACGATATCGTGAATTTTATCGTGAAAAGTTCACGATATCGTCAATTTTATCGTGTACTCTATCGTGTACTCTATCGTGTACTCTATCGTGTACTCTCCTGACGGGCGCTTCGTAAACAAAACCAGCCCTAGCTGGGGGAGACAGAGAGAAGGAAAAAAGGGAAAGGGAAAGAGAAGATAAAAGGAAAGAAAGAATAATAAGAAGAAAAGAGGGAAACGGGGGAAGGGCGAAGGACTCTTGCCCCCCCCCTCCCCCCCCCCCCCCCCCGCCAAAAAGTAAATCAGAGAGAGAGAGAGAGAAGGGAAAGGGAAAGGGAAAGGGAAGATAAAAGGAAAGAAAGAAGAGGAAGAAGAAGAAAAGAGGGAAACGGGGGCAAAGGGCTTTTGCCTCGTCCCCCCGCCCCCCGCCAAAAAATAAATAAGAGAGAGAGAGAGAAGGAAAGGGAAAGAGAAGAAAGAAAGAGAAAAACGAAAAAGAGGGAGAATAGGAAAGAAAGGAAAAGAAAGAAAAGAAAGGAGGCAAGAGCCCTTCGCCCCTGTTTCCCTCTTTTCTTATTCTTTTTCCTCTTCTTTCTTTCCTTTTATATTTTTTTTCCCTCTCCCTTCTCTTTCCCTTTATGGCGGGAGGGGGGAGGGGGAGGTAAGAGCCTTTCGCCCTTCCCCCGTTTCCCTCTTTCCGTCTTCTTCTTCTTTCTTTCCTTTTATATTTTCTTTCCCTTTCCCTTTCCCTTCTCTCTATCTCTCTCTCTCTCTCTCTCCTATTTATTTGTTGGCGCGGGAGGGGGGGGGGAGGAGGCAAGAGCCCCTCTTTTTTTTCTTATTCTTCTTCCTTTCCTTTTTTATTCTCTTTCCCTTTCCCTTCTCTCTCTCTCTCTCTCTCTCTCTTATTTATTTTTTGGGCGGGGGGATGCAAGAGCCCTTCGCCCCCGTTTCCCTCTTTTCTTCTTCTTCTTCCTCTTCTTTCTTTCCTTTTATCTTCTCTTTCCCTTTCCCTTTCCCTTCTCTCTCTATCTCTTATTTTTTTTTTTGGCGGGGGGTGGGGAGGGAGGAGGCAAGAGCCCTTCGCCCTTCCCCCGTTTCCCTCTTTCCTTCTTATTCCTCTTCTTTCTTTCCTTTTATATTTTCTTTCCCTTTCCCTTCTCTCTCTTATTTATTTTTGGCGGGGGGGGGGGGGGAGGAGGCAAGAGCCCTTCGCCCTTCCCCTGTTTCCCTCTTATTCCTCTTCTTTCTTTCCCTTTCCTTCTCTCTCTCTCTCTCTCTCTCTCTTATTTATTTTTTTGGCGGGGGGGGGGGGGAGGTAAGAGCCTTTTGCCCTTCTCCCGTTTCCCTCTTTCCTTCTTCCTCTTCTTTCTTTCCTTTTATATTTTCTTTCCCTTTCCCTTTCCCTTCTCTCTCTCCTTATTTATTTTTTGGCGGGGGGGGGGGGGAGTGAGGAGGAGGCAAGAGCCCTTCGCCCCCCCCCGTTTCCCTCTTTTCTTCTTATTATTCTTTCTTTCCTTTTATCTTCTCTTTCCCTTTCCCTTTTTTCCTTCTCTCTGTCTCCCCCAGCTAGGGCTGGTTTTGTTTACGAAGCGCCCGTCAGGAGAGTACACGATAGAGTACACGATAGAGTACACGATAAAATTGACGATATCGTGAACTTTATATCGTGAACTTTTCACGATAAAATTCACGATATCGTCAATTTCATCGTGAAAAGTTCACGATATCGTCAATTTCGTGAATTTCTTCGTGAAAAATATGCGATTAAATTGACGATATCGTGAATTTTATCGCATATTTTTCACGATTTAGTCTATTCGCGATGTCCCTTCAGGGCCACCATATATAAATGTTATTTTCTGCACTCACTATTTTACGCAAATTGGCGTTTCAGCCCTATTTCACGCATGCAAAAGAGACCCACTGCCCCTTGGATGTCACAGTTTGTCAGAATGTTATTATTATACTAAGATCAAGTTATGTTCACATGTAATAACGTGTACAATTCTTTGTACACTGCACAGTTCATTTATGCAATAAATTGAACTGTCTTTTTAACATATTTTTTTTATTATATATGTTTATAAAGCGCCAATGGCTACACTCGCGGCTCCTACGAGCGTCTATTGCATTTTTACATGGCATTTTCTCCCACAGTAAGCAACCGTACGCAACCGTAAGCAACCCTACGCCAGGCCTACGCAACCGTACGTTACCCTACGCCAATTGCCTACGCCGGAGGTACGCGGTGCCTACGCACAGGGTACGTAACTATACGCCGATCGTACGCAAGCCTACGCATAACCTACGCAGGGACTACAATCAATTTATTCATGAGTACGCAGCTTAACTTCGGCGTAGTCGGTACGCAACACTACGCAACTCTACGCAGATCCAGTGTGAAAGGGGCTTTAATCATCGTCTGAGTTCAGTTTCCCCTCCCCCACCCCCCCCCCCCCCCCCTCCCCACTCCCGCGCGAAGCGCGGAAGCTTTTACGTTTCATCAAATCATTAGAGAAAAAAGACGATTCGTTGTACCGTTCTCGACTCTTAATCCTTGTCTAAATTTAGTTTAGATTTATTTTTATTTTTTTATGTCTGTCGCCTTCAAAGTGCGATTTTCACTTCCATACTGACAGCGCAAGACTCAAGGTGAGGGACTTTACCAGTTGCTTCTTCAAACAGAGACTTATATTTTTTGGATGTATGTCTAAAACATGATTGCAAAGCTTTTCAAGGGGAAGTCCACTCTGATATTAGGGACTTCTAGATTTACACGACGAGAGCGTGGACTGCTGTATGTGACATTGTGTTAAGGCACTGGGCCGTGTTCGGCAGTTCCTTAAAAGGACGTCACATTACCTTTAAAAGGATGTCACACGTGGCGGTCCACGGTCTCGTCGTGTAAATCTAAAAGTCCATATTAAAGGACCCATGACATAGAAATACAAGTGCATTCCTGTTGATGCGCAGTCCTGCATACATCTCATATTTTGATATGTTAACTTCTGAATTTCTTTCATAGATTTTTAAATATTTGTTGAAATATTTGTTTTTCAAACTGGCTAAGCTTCACCCCAAAAACCTCCAGATCTCATTCCACTTATGACATCATCTGTCAGTCATCAATGAGCTAACTTGAGAAAGTGGCATGTATCTTAGCCGAAGTCGACCATCCGTTACAATGCGTAATACAATAGCAACATACAAGTTGCTATATCAGACATGCTGTAGCATCACCAGGAAGACAGAGGCAATGATGATGTGTATGGAAGCATGCAATTCTATTATGAACGTGTGCTAAGCTGGGGGAAATTACATACTATTGTCCAGGGACGTACGCAGGATTTTTTTCAAGGGGGGGGGGGGGGGGGGTTTAAAATCTGGCCCAAAATATTTTGCTCCCGAAAATTTGAAAATCGCGCCGGCCGAAAAGTCGCTCAGTGGGGGGGGGGGGGGGGGGGGGGGGGGGGGGGGGGGGGGGGTAAGCGGACATTTTTTTTTTTTTGGTAGTCCAAAAAAAAATCGCAACGACTCAGCCAACCGAAAAGTCGCTCAGTAGGGGGGGGGGGGGGGGGGGGGGGGGGGGGGGGGGGGGGGGGGGGGGGGGGTAAGCGGACACTTTTTTTTTTTTTGGTAGTCAAAAAAAAATCGCAACGACTCAGCCAACCGAAAAGTCGCTCAGTAGGGGGGGGGGGGGGGGTAAGCGGACACTTTTTTTTTTGGGTAGTCCAAAAAAAATCGCAACGACTCAGCCAACCGAAAAGTCGCTTAGTAGGGGGGGGGGGGGGAAGGGTAAGCGGACACTTTTGTTTTCTTTTTTGGTAGTCCAAAAAAAATCGCAAAGACTCAGCCAACCGAAAAGTCGCTCAGTAGGAGGGGGGGGGGGGGGGGGGGGGTGGGGGGTAAGCGGGCACTTTTTTTTTCTTTTTGGTCTCGAAATTTGAAAATTTGACATTTTTTTTGTTGGGGGGGGGGGGGGTAAGGTCACTTTACGTTAGCCGTGGGCATAATTTTTTTTTTTTTTTTTAATTACAAATTTTTTTTTTAAAAAAATAACAAAACAAAGGGGGGGGGGGGGTTTAGTTTTTTTTTTTTTTTTTTTTTTTTTGGGGGGGGGGGGGTTTACACACATACAAATACCAAAGGGGGTTTGAACCCCCACCCCCCCCCCCCCCCCCCCCCCCCCCCCCCCTGCGTACGCCCCTGCTATTGTCTATTCTATAATATTAGTTTAATCTGACATGTCTGACATATAATTATGTTGCTATTTTTTGTGGTATTGTAACAAGTGGTCAACTTTGGCAAAGGTACATGCCACTTTCTAAAGTTAGCTCATTGATGACTGACAGATGATGTCACAAGGGGAATAAGATCTGGAGGTTTTTGGGGTGGATTTTAGCAAGTTTCATTAGCGGACAAGCCTTTTTTTGTCACCTGTGCAAACACGCCAACGGCATATAAATACAAACTTGATTTCTATCATACATATTTAAGGCATATAGGCTATTGAAATAATGAACTAACCTCCACTAGAAGGGGTCCATTTGGGACATGGTATTTAAGGCCGTACCGCTCAGGGTCTTCCGTTGTCACTGAATTAGAAGCAAAAGCAGTGACGGTTCCAGTGGGGGAGGAGGGGCCGGTAGAGTATTCTGTGTATTCATACATACACACGTTTACACACGTTCCTAAAAGAAAATAAGACAATGGTACGTAGATAAACAGTAGTAAGTTGGTTTCTATTGAAACAGAAAGCCGTCACAATTCAACCTCACTGCGCGTTTTGAACTGACTTGCAGTAAGCATTATTTTTTTGCGTGGCTCAACGGGAGGGGGGGGGGTGTTTGAACACCTAAAACACCCCTGTTTGCCAAGGAGGGGTGTAATATGGGTAGTCGTTTATCAACTTGAACAAGATTTTGTAAATCGAATAATCCATGTAACCAAATTTGTGTATTTGACAACATCCCGCTACATTCCTTGTATCTTATCTAAGTAACCCCAAATGTGAGGTAAATGGGTACTTGGTAGGAATTTATTCCTTGAAATGCTAGAGCGCGGTATGGCAGCCGTGCTAAAGCCAGGGTAATAATCGGGAGCGCCAGGAGGGTCAAATCTGACTGACATGAGTGCTATACAAGAACCCACTATTATTATTATTATTATTATTATTATTATTATTATTATTATTATTATTATTATTATTAAAGAATAACTTTAGTTGTTCTGAGAGATTGATTGCATTCTTGCCCATCAATCTACATTATTCCCCACCAAAGTGCTTGAGAAAGGCATAAATCAAGAATAATGTACAGTTTCTCAGCAAGACATGGGAATCGCCATTTTTTGAATGCATGACGTACTTTGCCGAGTCGTTTATCAACTTGCCAAGGGTGTTGTAAATCGAATATACCATTTTCGTAATATAACTAAATGTATTCATACGCCTTTGTAAAGCGCCTCGTTACGAATTATTTCATTCACCTGTTACGAATAAATGTATCTCAATAGTGAGAATGCTTGCATTGCTAGGTAGGACAAATTTTATGACGTGCCTTACTACCTAACAACATGTAATATATGCAATTCGTATTCTGACTATTGAAATACAATTATTCGTAACAGGTGAATGATATCATTCGTATCGAGCCAATTAAAGTGATAGTTAGGTTTTGTCGCAGAGGGGGTACACACAATAACGTTTTTTAGTGAGATAATGGAAAACTGAGTGTCAAATTTGAAAGAAAATACAATTTAAATGACAAAATCATCTTTGTTTGATCAAAATTGGTTCAGAGACGGCTGAAATATCCATAAATATAACGATTTGCAATATTTGTGGTGCCCCATATATATTCGATAATTTGAACCAGCCGTTGAAAGAACGAGCGCCTTTTACGTTTTATTCCAGCCACTGCCGATGTTGGCTTTTTTTTGGCTTTTTGTTAGCTTTTTATATTTCATTAATTTCATTCATTTTCATATTTCTCATGTTATATATACATTTTAATATAAAGTACAATTTTTGTGTGTGTGATAAAATAACAATCAATAATACAAAGTAAATAACATAAAGATAAGTGGTCAACATAGAATACTGATTTAACTATAAATAAATAAATATGGAAATACAGTGGACGTTAACGCCGCTCTCGTCCACTCAATCTAAAAGTCCCTAATATCCGGAGTCAACTATTCCGTAATGTATGTAGTCTGTTGAGAACCAATCATATACTTTAACACAGAGTTATTAGACTCTTCCGACTCTAAACATAAACCAGAAACAACCATGGTAAGTCAATGGTCGAAGCAAGAGAATTGTCATTTATATTGGAAGAAATAAGTGGATAAATTTTTTAATATATCGTCCGGGACATATTGGACGAAATATTGCACGGAGTCCACCCTGATATTAAGTTGTTTTAATAGAAGCAGAAAATTAGAGAAACAGTTCATTGAAGGTTTGAGCAAATTCAAATAGAAAATAGGAGAGCTTTGAATCTTTGGAGTTGCGATCAATCAAACACAATTGGCAACTCTGTGACGTATTTTGCGAAGGCCCCTCCAGTTTGCTCTGTACATAAAATTTCATAAAGTTTCATTTTCTTCGTTATTGATGACGGATTACATTTTTCCGTAAATAGGTTGTATAAACACGTAATTGCAATAAATATATTTAGGATGCATGTATAATTGAAAGTTGTCTTGAGGGAAAATACAAATTTCTATAACAAAATATAGTACAAAGCAAATGGTAGGGAGACTCGCAGTATTCGTCACAGAATGCCCTTCATTGATCGCAACAATATCAATTAAATTAATTGCGAATCTAATGAAGAAAAAAAAATTAAAAATAATAAAATAATTTGATGATTACCAGGATTCGCCACGAATAGAGCACCAGTTCCTGAAATATCTAGATCTTTTACAACTTTTCTTTTGTGATCTGCAGGGTTGTTTGTTGCGCTGAGTCAAGAACATATATACCAAGTGTCTCGAAAGCCTCTGTCGTTGGCAGTACAAAGGCATTGACGAAAACATTCATGCAAGGAGATGATTCATCGATAAATTCGTGCTTCTCGTAAGCGATGCAAGCTTCAACACATCCTAAGTTAATACCAATGGAAATAAAAAGATGAAACCATTTACATGTTTAAGAAGTGAAATTGCCTCATTTTTTATCCACTGGCCTCCGGACTGATTTTCATTTGCCCGAATATAAACCATTCAGCTCCTGAATTGGTACACTCTTTTAGTAGCAAAAATTATAGGAATGACATATTCGGGCACCTCCTGCCTGATGGGCATTGGCACGTCACCTACTTTCCTTTCGTTCTCCCAGCCACGAAAAACGTATTTAGGACACGAGAGATTTATTTCTTATCACTATTATTTTAACGCACACTTTACGACCCTCTTGCAATATTTTCGAAGAAATTGTATTATATTAGATATGGAAATCTAAACAAACACCGTATTCGTGATTTAGGTTCTACTTCGTGATAAGAATATTGACAACTAAAGTGTGTTTGTCTTTTTAAGCATTCTCTTCAGAAAAATAGCCGAATCGGCTTCAAATCGTCTAAAGTCGCTTCATCATCCAAGGAAGCCTGAAATCAATAGAAAGTTTAATTTATTAATCATATGACTATTAAAATCATCGATCAATAGGATTTTAGAAGTTTGAATGTTCATACCAAATTCTATTCCAAATTCTTCATTTTGAAAAGATAATTTGATCTATCAATCAATTTTATGAAAAGATGCCGGGAAAATTTCTTCCAACTGAATGGGAAACTGTGTATTGTGACAGGCCATTTCAGGAATGTATGTGTAACGAATGACAGTAAATTAAGGCTACATACAAACGTTTCGTGTCAAAAATCATTCGAACTTCTTACAATCACATGGAATCATATGACAAGCTTACCACCAAAAGAAAACAGAGATTGTCTTTGCAGTTTGCAGGGACAAGCCCATGTCTGACAGTCGTAATGCATAACAGACTCCAGGGGCGTACGCAGGATTTTTTCAAGGGGGGGGGGGGTTTAAAATATTTTGCTCCGAAAATTTGAAAATCGCGCCATCCGAAAAGTCCTCAGTGGGGGGGGGGGGGGGGGGGGGGGGGGGGGGGGGGGTGAGCGGACACTTTTTTGTTTTTTTTGTCTCGAAATTTCAAAATTTGACATTTTTCTTCGTTGGGGGGGGGGGGGTAAGGTCACCTTTTTAGGTTAGCCGTGGGTATTTTTTTTTTATTTTTTTTTATTAGATAATTTTCACAAAAAAAAAAAAAAAAAAGGGGGGGGGGAGGGGGTTTTAGGTTTTTTTAGGGGGGTTTACACACATAAAAAAAAAAAAGTTTAAACCCCCCCCCCCCCCCCCCCCCCCCCCCCCCCCCTGCGTACGCCCCTGACAGACTCAGAGGCCCAAATTCACAAAGGAGGTTTGTCGACAAACCTAGGTTTTCGTGCGTCATATGACGCATTTCGACGCGTTTATACAAACCAGGTTTGTAAGAAACGCGTCGGGTTTGTCGAAAAAACCTCCTTTGTGAATTCGGGCCAGAGGGTCTGAGCATGGTCTGAAATAGAAGTTATATTATATAGAACCCGCAGTCAATATGCCCTGTACTCTAGCTCCTTAGCCAGAGACTGACAGAGCCAGGCTCTGCTCAGGGCTTTAGAAAAGCGTAAAGTACCAAATTCGAGTCTGTGCCTGAAGACTTGAGAGTATCAGTGGCCTACCGAGATTGATGTACGATTGGGGTGATATAAAAGTTGTTATTCCTCCTTTAAAACTTACCCACATCTCCCTCGGCTGGTCCTAGACGAAAGTAAACCCGGCCCTGTTGAGGTGTTCCTTCATTTCGTCTGTTCACAACCTGCAGAATATTAACATTGACAATGACAGAGTAAAAGTATTACAGAGAAACGCTGTGGACTAAAACTTTCATGCCACCTGTTTGTGTAGTTCCATATTTCTGTGCACAGTGCATGTGGCCTTTAGGCAATCTGGGCCAATTTTTATCATTTTAATGATTCTGAAACCTAACATTAAACACCCATGCACATCTTCTACATGGTCAACATTTTCCTGTCGCTTTCACAAAGTTTCTTTCAAAATGCAATCGCTTTTAATAGCAGACGTCATCTGTATCGTTCATAAAATAAATTCTATAGCGTTTTACCAATTAACAGTGACCGACTGATGCGCTTGTTAGGTCGATTACACTGACATTTGCATCCTATGCGGTATCAATTTTAACCAGGGTGGAGAAGAGCAGTTTTTATTAAAATAAATGGATAACCATGCAGGTGCCTAAGGCGAAAATTCAATTCTTCCGATAAAAACATGGATATACAAACTACACTATTTTGTGTGGCATAAACATCATGTGTCTTTAAAAAGAATTGTTAATAATATTTGTTGCTTTCTTTTATGATACCATCCTTTCCTCGCTATTTCCGGAAATACACCAAAAGTACTGATCAAAGAGAAAGTCGGCAGTAAGTCTGAGAAATTACACTACATCTTCATAATTATGCACAAATCTATATAGCGCTGCAGAAGACCTGGGCCCCGTTCCTAGAAACCGTCATAAGTCTAACTTCTTGACTATCCCATTGAAACGTGTGTTATAGAATTAACACGCGTTTCAATGGGATAGTCAAGCAGTTAGACTTATGACGGTTTCTAGGAACGGGCCCCAGACGCCTACCTTATTTGTGCTCCAATCTACGACCTTTCTATTACATGTCTAAGTGCAATCATAATTTCTCGGAGGGGTGGGGGGGGGGGGGGTCGGGGTAGAACTTACAAATTGAACTTGAGTGCCAAGATCGTGAAGACTCAGAAGCAATGACTCGTGGCATACGTCAGTCACATCAGCACCATTCAGTTCAATTATTACGTCATCATTCCTACATATAAAGCAATCGTTTGGTTTATAAATGATGGAAAATAGATGGAACAATCTTTTGAACTTTGTAATTTGAACTTTAAACTTTAAACTTTGAAGTTGAGAATTCTGTTGATTAAATTGACCGTAGAGCAGTGCTATATAACTTTAAAGGAACACGATCACAAATGCTTTCGAAAAATCAACAAAAGGCAATGTTAAAAGTATTGTCCCTCATCCTTTGAAATGTGCAAACATTACATTGATGCATTACGTAGTCCGAATATGATATGGGATAAGCAAAACAGGAAATTGAAATTGCTCTTGAGTTGATTTCTTGAAAGTTTTTAAGACCTTGATTAGGGTTCAGATCTTACTTCAGATGGAGTTGTTTGGCCAGTCCTTCTTTTTTGACCTCGACCAATCGATGTTCCCCCTCGGAATTGGTGCTCAGCTTCGCCCCAAAATTAGTGAGTTTATCAGCATCTGCCTCGTCGTACTGCAACATGATGCGGTTCGTTTTCTATCAAGTCAGGAGATGGATAAAGATTTGTGATAATTATTTATATGTATTTATACCTACAGATTTGTGATAATGATTTATATATATTTATTACTACATGTAACTATACATGTATTCCACGTTTTAACCGTAGAAAGCATTGACAGAACGTGAAAAACATGTCGGACCTTGGTCAGAACGTGAGATACGTGAGGGATCCCATCAACACGTAACGGGCCGAGAGGGATCGGGTCAGCAGCGGTAGCACACTCCTCTTCATCTGGCGGCGGTGAACCGGGGGGGGGGGAATCTTCAGACTGCTCTTGCCCCTCTACTGGTGGTGGTGCAGGACTGGGGAGGGGGGAGGGCTTCGTACGTCTTGGCTTCAAAACCAAGTCGTAAACCGCAACACGCCGAGACGCGGCGTGATTGAACGCGACGAAACGGCTACCATACACCCTATCTTGCCGTGAGAACCGTGAGAAAACGCGGCAGAACGTGACAAAACTAAAAAGGACCGTGAGACGCCAGGGAATTCACAGGCTTCCCGTCCCACTACGGACCGCCTCCAAGTTTTGATACGGCCTATTACGTACTGTCACGTTTTGTTGCGTTCACCTCGTTTTACGACCTACTAGATTTATCATTGCACCGGCAATTTTGTTGACAGTTTACAAATCTGGCCCAACATCCACGGCAATCAGGGAAGACAGCCAGTGAAAACGAATTTGTTTGATAAAATTACGGAATTGCAAACATACATTTGTTAGTCCTGGTTCATTTTTTCTTATTTAAGTGTCATATGAAAGGGCAGAAAATGAACTTTTTGGAAATGTGATTTTCTCTTTGAAGTTCAGATACCGTCCGCCAAATCGCTTTTGGTACCCTTTCTTCAAATTGTTTTTAATCACTAATGCATATGAGTTGAAGCAAATGAAAGAAGAGAATCTAACCTTTACAAATACGTGTCATTTATCAATTATAATCGTGATTCAGTTATGATAAAACACCGATAATTCTCGGTTTCGATTCTTCTGGGACGCACTGTATAAATCATGATTAAATAAATGAGGGGTAGGGTTAGGGTTAGTGTAAGATGACATAGTGCATAGCATCATCTACGACACATGAGATGTAGTCTGAAGCATTTATAGCTTATATCGCCGCACTATAAATTCAACTCGTTCTTGCAGATACATCGGTATCGTGCTGGACTGCAGACCAAGCGATCATAAGTTCGCATCCACTTTTTTTTTTAAGTTTCAGGAGAAAAGGAAGGAGAGGAAGAGAGAATGTAGGCTAGATCTACTGAGCTGTAATATTAGTTGGCTGTCACAACAGGAATTATTTCCCTAATCAATTTTCTGTTAAACGGACAGTTTAGTTTTGCTTTCGTTCAAGAGTTTATATTCAGGCACAGGGAACCCCTGGGCCATGACAAATATCCCTCCCCCCCCCCCATGACATTGATTGTGATGCCACCCCTCCCCCATTCTGCCTATTGAAGAGAAGACCAGCGGTCGGGGAGCACAAAATCTCCGTTTTACCTGTTCTGTATTATTGTTTTTTATATTCTGAAAGGTACTATGTCCCATTTGCAGGCCAAAAAAATGAAAAAGTTAAATTCCAACTGCATTTGAAAGATAATACTAATTTAGAACTTCCCTAAAAAAGGTGGGGCTTGAAAATGTCTTCAAGTTGGAAAATAATGACTATTAGCTGTCAAATCGATTTTAGGGCTATAGAGCCCAAAAGTAATAGTCTTGATTTACAGACAATTGTACCGAATGGTCATACGTTTTATGCTGCGCAAATATTCAATCAGTTTAATCTTGGCCATCACAAGAAGTGGGTTATTGATGTAGACAAATGCTCATGTACCCTTTACAACTCTTTTCATGTATGTTATTACCAAAGAAGAAAAAAAGCCAGTCAGTCACTCAAGTGTCTGACAGTGAAGTCTAGCAAGTAAACGGTTTTCCTTGCATAACTTGAATATGAGGACACTCATATTACTCAAATTTCACAGATAGGACATACATGACATATTCATAATTCCTGCAAAGTTCTACAGCATTTGAGGTTGGCTGCAAAAGGGACATAGTACCTTTAATTGAAAGAAATCCCCGGAAAGAATTCCTCCTCACAAAAAGATACTGTAGAAAAATAAATGTTCCATAGAAACAATAAGCTCAAATATGACAGTTTTGAAGAAAAAAAACTTTTACAAAACACGATGAAATATGCCAGCTCGATTATTGTGATGTTTTTGTGGTTTCACTTTGTAGGGATCCGGGTTTGGAAAAGAATAGGAGCATCGATTTCCGCCCTTCATTTCCATTTCTCATTAAGAGAATAATGGTTATTTTGTCCCCAAACTTTGCTATTAAAGTACACTTTGGATATAATGAAAATGAGTAATAGCAATTTCATTGTACAGACAATGACATCTGGCAGAATAACACGCTTTCAGATGAGATATTTTTAGAACGGCCTTGACGCATGAAAAGTTTTTTTCAAAAGGCCGATAACCATTAACATTCCTAATGTGAACTTATCCGACGCATGTTGTAAAATTTGTGGCCTGTTTTGAACAAATAGAGATTAAAAATTTTGCACAGTTTCTGTGATTAGTGATGTAATCAAATTCTATGTACAAATTGCATTAGTCAGAATGCTAATTGCATAAATGACATGTTTTAGGTAGGACAAGCTATAATTTTGTCCTACCTAAATGTACGATAACATAACGAATATGGTCTTTTGAAATACAATTATTCGTAACAACTGAAGGATTATTTTTGCCTATTTTACATTGAACTATTTGCATATATTTTACATGTTGCAGTTTCATTTGTAAATTCAAAATGTGTCAGCTTTTAGTTGTGAATTTAAATCTTTATCACTTAACCTTATCAAGCAATCAATCAATCAATTAAAATCAGTGACCCCCTCTCTATAAGCCACCTGTTTATAGTAGTCATGTATTTTGTCTCCCTTGAGAAAGAAATGTGTGTGTGTTGTAGAACCTGCTTATTGAGGTCATCTGTCTACATTGTTACTGTTTTCCTTGTGTGGTCTTTATAGACAGGTTTGACAGTGATGTGGTGGGTGCACATGGTAAAAATGTGTGTGCGTGCTTGGAGAGGGGGGCGGATTGTAAATGATACAGAAGGTGAAGACTAGTCTTTCGGGAGAACAGAAAGAATCCCAAAAAGTTCAACATCCAGCAACTTTTTACGAATTTCATATTTAAATGTTCTTATCACAGTGTAAATCCAAATTACGTATACAGCTAGCCTAATGCTGAATCAAGATTAGTGGTAATAGTGGTAATAACAAACGAGATAGATTTTTCATTCAATTAACCTTTTCATTAAACCTTTAAGATAATTATTTAAAAAATAATAAAAATTGAAAACTACCCGACGTATTTAATGTTATTTTCTTTGTTGGCACCGTTGGGTGGTAGAGGCCATATTTTTACAAATTCCCCCCCCCCCCCCCCCCAACACAAAAGTAATCTTATCATAGTCCTCAGCTCTCATACAAATGTTCGTCACAGGTTATTACGGAGTCATGCTATAGTAAACTGAAAGTCAACGAGACCGAACTGTTCACAAAAGGTTTCCTACGTCAACAGCACACGAAACAGACAGCCCACTTGACCGGCGGCCTACGATCCCGGGTCGGGAGGGGGGGGGGGGGGGGTACTCACTGTAACTCACATATTAAGACATACGGGGTGTGACGCTCTAATGGGTCACTTTATCACACACAAAATGTTTGCCATAAATTGCGAAAATGTGATTTACTTCGAGAAACATGACCCCAAATGACCCTTAAGATGGGTAAAGGTTTCGAGGCTTCAGTGGCACACCCCCCGTTCAAACGAAATCTGAGTACCCCCCCCCCCCCCCCCAAGCGCGTAGCCAGGATTTCATTTTAGGGGGGGCAGTAGTGAGCACGCGAAGCGTGCGAATCACTTAAAGAGCGCGCGAAGCGCGCTTCCTAGGGGGGTGGGTGCAGGGAGGGGGGAGTTTCCCCCCCTCCCGCGCGAAGCGCGAAAGCTTTGAAAGAAGACGATTCGTTGTACCTTTCTCGACTCATAATCCTTGTCTGAATTCAGTCCCTCCCCTCTCTCGCGCGAAGCTTTGACGTTTCATTAAATTATTAGAGAAAGAAGACGATTCGTTGTACCTCTCTCGACTCTTAATCCTTATCTGTATTCAGTCCCTCCCCTATCTCACGCGAAGCTTTGACGTTTCATTAAATTATTAGAGAAAGAAGACGATTCGTTGTACCTTTCTCGACTCATAATCCTTGTCTGAATTCAGTCCCTCCCCTCTCTCGCGCGAAGCTTTGACGTTTCATTAAATTATTAGAGAAAGAAGACGATTCGTTGTACCTCTCTCGACTCTTAATCCTTATCTGTATTCAGTCCCTCCCCTATCTCACGCGAAGCTTTGACGTTTCATTAAATTATTAGAGAAAGAAGACGATTCGTTGTACCTTTCTCGACTCATAATCCTTGTCTGAATTCAGTCCCTCCCCTCTCTCGCGCGAAGCTTTGACGTTTCATTAAATTATTAGAGAAAGAAGACGATTCGTTGTACCTCTCTCGACTCTTAATCCTTATCTGTATTCAGTCCCTCCCCTATCTCACGCGAAGCTTTGACGTTTCATTAAATTATTAGAGAAAGAAGACGATTCGTTGTACCTTTCTCGACTCTTAATCCTTGTCTGAATTCTGTTCCCCCCCCCCCCCCTCTCGCACGAAGCTTTGACGTTTCATTAAATTATTAGAGAAAGAAGACGATTCGTTGTACCTTTCCCGACTCATATTTCTTAATTTGAACTCAGTTTCCCCCTTCCCGCGCGAAGCGCGGAAGCTTTGACGATTCATTGTACCGTTCTCGACTCCTTTTCCATTTTTCTTCCTACGTCCTCTTTCTTTTTTTTCTTCTCTTTCTCTCTCTTTTTTTTTTTTGGCCGGCGTTTTTTTTTTTTTTTTTTTTTTTGGGGGGGGGGGGGCGACCGCCCCACCGCCCCCCTGGCTACGCGCCTGCCCCCCCCCGGGCCTACGATACTGAAATTTACATGTAGTGAACCAGACTGACAGCTTACAAGGCCGATAGGCCGACGGCAAACTACAGACCCCATATCTGCATAAGGAAATATTTTGTGTAAAGTCAAACTCGTGAGCTGAGCTGTAAGTCTCGAAGGCTATAGCCGGTTTTTACACCTTCATTATTACAGGAATACTCCATGCAATCCCAATATTTCTGAATTATTTAATAAGTGTAGTTTTGTATGCATGTACGTGTACAGTATTTGAAATAGTGAATCTACAACATCAAAACACGACTGACCTCAGGTACCTGTTCCACTTCTTCAACTGGCTCCGCTCCTTTACAGCAGCATATGTTCCCACCCATATTCACTGAATTATATTAATTCACAAACAGGTGGTTAAGCGACTCTTATGTTTTTTTCAAAAACACTTGCGATGCGACGAACATTCAATTTCGAACTGTGCGGAACGCGGACCGAAGTGGAATGAACGTTTGGAGCTGGCACGCCTCGAATATATCCTTGGTAAGCTTTGATGCATTTCGAGCAATTATGGTGAATAAAAGTTTGGAAGGGGGCGCTACTCTAATTATGCTCCAATGGGATGTGCCACTTATCTGTAGGGGTTATTTTCCATGTGCCCCACTTTGAATTCCCTCAAATCACGTACCGGTACAGCCACAGGGTAACCTATAAAGTCTTTGATACAGCTAGCTAGGTACGAACCATCGCTATAGAAAACGGCGTTCTAGATTGAGGTGACTTTCAAAACCGACTCGATTCTAGTAGTGCATATGGTAGAAAACATGGCGCACGCTCAGATTTTCAAAAATGATATCATCAAGTCGCAGTTTACTGCGTCGACATGGCAATCGAAAAGCCCAATATTGACTTGACAAGTCGAAGAACATACACAAAATTCTAAACCGTAAAAACGTCACTCTGAGTTAACTGTCGTGCGGGCGTTTCATCAGGGCCCCGTTGCATAAAACTTACCATTGATGGTAACTACCATGATAAAAGGGCTCAACAGCCAATCGAAATAAAGGTTTCCATGGTAGTTACCACTGATGGCAAATAGTAAGTTTTGTGCAACTGGGCCCTGAAGTAGTTTTAGATGACGATTATTATTTTATCGGGGAAAGGGGTTTGTGAATGGCTCTGGGGGCATCAGGGGGGGGGGGGTTCGGATTCTTGTATTCATGTCTTTTTTGTATAGCTTGAGCTTGAGCTCCACTCACCCTCCCCCCCCCCCCACCTTGGTGTGACATTGACCACTTGCCATTTGCGTTAATGTGATGTTTTGTTGGGTCTGTATAGTCATCCTGGTGTCGGTTTGGTGTTTGCGTGACCGAGGTATTAATAATAATCTGTTGATACCGCACAACTTTATAACACCTTCTTTTTTAAACTACCCTAGTCAAACTTCGAAACTATTCCAACCCGACCGAATATTTCAGAATATCTTGGACGTTTTGGACTATTATGTAGTATGATTTTTTCATTCTATTTCCAGACCGCTGTCTGCCTCATCCTTAATGAATAGAGTGGAAGAGAAGCTGTACAACTATGTTACCATGCCAACAAGTTCCATCCATAAACGTCGCATAGCAATGACTTTGTATGATTGCCATATGAACTTAATGTGAAAAAATAAGACGGGTTGCATTGTCTTCAAATCAGGGACAGTGTTTGTTGTCGGACATCAGTAGTCAATTGCGAAGTTTGACATTAAAGACGTGCTCATTGTTTTCTGCGTGAAATTGTTCTTGAAAGAAGTAGGGCGCCATTTTGTGTAAGAAGCGGGCTTCTTGGAACCAAGTGTTTAAGCGTGTTATCGAGGCTGTTCTGCGGTTAGAAGACATATTTATTTTGTTCATTTACAGTAATTTCATCCGGTGGAACAGCGAGTATAGGATTATTCGATACATTTTCTGGAGTTTATTTAACATCACTAGAAGAGCATCAGCAGAGTTCACTGACGTAAGTATGACCAACAACAAAATTTATCTTGTTCTCACAATTGATTTCATCCATCTGCTTGAATTAAGAGTTTCACATATCAACAAAATATAATTTCATAATTCAATAATCTTTTGGAAAATGCCAATCGTTTTTGTTTTCTTGTATATGTTTCGTCTTTGTCAGGATTTTACCCTCATACATTGAGGAATGTACTATACAGTGCGTATCGAAAAATGTATACCCAGACTTGGTAGCTTATGATTAAAAGTCATAAGTGATGTGACCTTGAAATATATTTCGTGGTAAAGAGCAGCTTGTTTTCTGTCTAATGATACCTAATTTATAATTTGAATGCCATGTACAATGACTGAGTACCGGAGCTTTTAAATAGTGCCATCAAATTCTCCTTGTACCAAGTTTGGCCTGATGCACCGGACTTTAGGTTAGGCCATTATGCATATGTTACTTTGGTCTTAAATTTGTTTAAGAGTTTGTTGTGCTTCATTATGCAGTGAATCATTGTTTTAATTGATCCAATGTATCTATGCTTTGACGGGACCTTTTTTTCAACCCACAAGATAACCGAAAGGTATTTTAAACAACCTACTAAAAACTCTTCTTTCATGATATCTTCGGTCTCTCATTTTCCATGCATAAAGTTCGCAAGGTGCATGCTGTATTTGTCTCAAAAAGCACATGAAAACTCAAATATTTACTAAGCTCGAAGGCTTAATGAAAAAAAAAATTACACGTTGATATGTGAATATCAAAAATCAAATGATATAAAATGATATGTGAACATTAAATCAAATATGAATTATTAATGATAGCAAGGATTCATTCAATAGCTATTCATTTGTACACAATAGTTTTGATTTTATTCTTTAAACTCGAAATCACTTTTTATGTTGAACAATTTCACTTTGTAGAGGTAGATAAATGTAATTAATCCAGATAATGTAATTAGGTCTACTTCCTTAAAACTCTCATTTGTCAAGCTTCACTGGTTCACCTCATATTTTGTTCATCTGTAATATCCCCTATGCCTTGTATCTTATATCCACCTACTCTCCAATCACTTTTACCATTTCATTATTATTACCCCTTGACTCTTAGATTAATTGCATTTTATCATTAATGGCTGTTTTTCTTTGCCAATCAAATATCTAACTTGCCAATTAAGTGCAATGCACCTTTTAACTTTCAATTTAGCTTTTCTATTTTTATTTTTATTTCGATCTATACATCAAAAATATCACTATATGATTACGATATTTTGAGAATTTACTTGAGTACCTAGTGTCGAGCAGTTTACTGATATTCATGTCATTAAAATGCATCCATAAATACATTTGGGGAAACCAGTGAAATACTTAAAATCCCCACGATATGAAATGTCTTTTTTTTTTTGATTTCCTTTAAACAAACATGTATTCTTTACTATCTCCACTATATAGACAATAATACATGTAGATGAACGATTGAATGAACACATAAAAGAACAAATACATAAGTTTAAAATAACTACATTTACAAACTAATGAATAAATGAATACATAGATAAATAATAAATAAAATAACTATAGGTAGTAGAGATTTATGAATTACGATAATTATTTATGCATACGAAACGTTTCAATGCAAGGTGGTCAATAATGTTAAAGATTTAAAATTGGAGTCTGAATGAAATAACTAGATGTTGTAAATAATTAATCAGGATCTATGTCTCTTGTCATTGCTTTAAGAGTCGACTTTAAAGGGATAGTTGAGTTCTTTTTTTAGACCACAAATGCCCTCAAAGTGCTTGGTTATTGCTATTATTCTTTTCTATGACATTTCTAGTGCCCTTTTAGGACATACAATTACTATGAAGGTAATTTTAGACCCCAAAATGTGTGAAATTTAGCCAAAACGATCATACCAAATCAGCTCATCTTTCAAAAAATACGGTGACCGTTAATCAATTGATTAATTAATAATAACAATACATGGGCCGGCTGGTTGTTCGTAATATACCCAACACGGAAAAGCCAACAAAAGAGCCAGCATCGGCATTGGCTGAAATACAATGTAATAGGCGCTATTTCGTTTTTTCAACGGCTGGTTCAAATTATCGAACATTATTTTGTGGTGGTACACAAATATTAGAATGATGTTTGTGGATATTTCAGCCGTCTCTGAACTGATTTTGATCAAACAAAGATGATTTTGTCATTTGAATTGTATGTTCTTTCAAATGTGACGCTCATTTTTTCATTATCTCACCAACAAAAATTGTTTGTGTAGCGCCCTCTGCAACAGAAGTCAACTATCCCTTTAATGAAGATTGATATCGGTACTGATTCTGTCGTACATTATTGAAGTTAAGAATGTAGATGGAATGTAATATATGTCCTTGGATTATGCCTCAGTCACACCGCAAACCATATTCTTTTAACTTGAATTGTGATGTGCATAATTTTAATATTAGAAATGCTCTAAATTACCACCTCCCCAAGATTAGAACGACTTGTATGAAAAATTGACTATTTTTTAAAGGACCATTAATATGGAAAAGTATACCTCAGGAAATTAAAAAATGTAAAACTCTCAATCTTTTAAAAATTAAATATAAACAATTTCTATTAAACAAGTATAATAATCTGTATCAATAGTATGGGCACATTTTTGACATTTTTTGTAATACTCTGATCGTGCATGATAGGAAGTTTTAATATGTTCTTTGTTTTTTGTTCTCTTTTTTGTTCTCTTTTTCCTGTATGTGTGTTTTTAGGGGTAGGCTTTTATATAAGGAACTTCCCCCCCCCCTTTCTGCCTATCCCAAATATTCTTATAAATTGCCATTGTATTTTGTTATCACTTTCTTGTGTTTTTTAAATATTTGTATAACTCCATTCTGTATTTGTATGTTTTAAATGTTTTTATGAAGAGTGTTGAATAAACTTTGAATTGAATTGAAACCCGACACTACACCGATTCTGGCGGTTAATGTGGTAACATTTTCGGTCTGGTGTGGGTATTGTTAGACTGACCAAGGTATTAATAAGAATCTGTTGACACCGCCAAGCTTTGTAACATCTTCCTTTTTTTAGATTAATGAAACCGTTCCAAACCGATCGAATATTCTAGAAATTCTTGGCCGTTTTGGACTACTGAATTTGTTGTCTTCATTCTACTAACGGACCCCTGTCTGCCTTATCCGTGTTGAAATGAGTGGAAGAGAAGCTGTACAACTTCGTTAACATGGCAACAAATTCATCCATAAACGTCGCATCAATGACTTTGTATGATTGCCATATACATTTTATGTAAACAAAACTGAGACGGGTTTCATTGTCTTAAAAGCAGGGACAGTGTTTTTGTCGGACATCATTAGTCAATTGCGACGAGGGACATTAAAGTGGTGCGTATTGGTTTCTGTGTAAAAATGCTCTTGAAAGACGTCGGGCGCCATTTTGTGTAAAAGGTGGGCTCCTTTGAACAAAGTAATTTAGCGTGTTATCGAGGCTGTTGTGAGGTAAGAAGACATATATTTTGTTAATTTACAGTTGGCCTTTTATCAGGTTGTACAGCGAGGAGAATATTTCGATATATTTTCTGGAGTTTATTCTAAATCACTAGAAGAGCATCAGTGAGAGTACACTGACGTAAGTATACACACAAATAAACTACAATTCGAATTGATCTTGTCCCCATAAATGATCTCATGCATCTGCTTGAGTTGAGAGATTCGTAAATTTAAAAAAAATAGTTTCCCAGTCTTGGAAAATGGCAACCGTCTTTTTCATTTTTGTTCTGCTTTCTCATACCTTTACCCTTATACTTTGAGGAATGTACTACAGTACACAGTATGTATCAAAAACAGTATACCCAACCTTGGTAGCTTATGATTAAAAGGTCATGATTGATTTGACCTTGGAACCTATCCCATGATAAAGAGTAACTTGTTATTTGTCTAATGATACCCAATTCATTATTTTAAGACTCGAAGACATATTGATATCGATAGTACACACCCTTAAAAGCATCGTTTAACAATTTTAAATCTGAGATGCACGACTCTACGTGTTATCAGTGTCTGTAATATGGTATAATATTGAAGCCCTAAAAAAAAAGCGCTTCAAAATGATCAAGAAGTGCCTCAAAATAGTAAAAATCTTGAGTGACCGGTTTTACCATACTCGTTTTCCCCCATAGACTGTGGTGTTATGAAAACCGTTTGGCAAACGCAAAATTTGGTTTCGATTTCCAATCATAAATATCTTGATAATCAGACCGGCGATCGGCTTGTAAAATTCATGGGGTTCCTGACTGACCTAAAGGTTTATAATTAACATTGCAGCATGAGCTAAATCCAGGATTTTGTTTCAGAATCTGAGACAAAGTTACCTGATCCCTTTAAGATAAAGGTAGAATCCCAAATAAACTTTGTCCACTTTGAATGACTCGATGATAAGGGTTACGCGAGAAGCCAAGACTATGTCATCATGAAAGAAATAATATCATACATGTTGCTTTTTAATAAGCCTCTACTTGAGTCTGAGCTGTAATGGTCACCGTTTCTATTCAAATGCACTAAATCAACGCGAATTAGTCAGCAGTTGTTTTTGTACAGAAAAACAATGCGTAAGGGCTTTAGACCCACATTCATTCTTTCAGGTCATTACTGAAAGAATGAGTGTAGATGTGCTGAAATATGATATTTAATCCTGCCTATTTATGTTCAATATTCCTCACGAAAATGTACAAGAGATATATATAAACGAAGATATTCTTGGCACAGCCATTATCTTGATAATGTGACGTACCAGGCGAATTTGAAGATGTATAATGCACAAAGCTCTAGTTTGAAAGACTTTTTATTTTCACTGAAAAAACTTTTACTTTTCGATCAAGGAAAATCACAGCTGAGAAGGCAAAATTTATATTGGATGGAAAATATATAAACAGGTGAACAATTATTGTAAGTCATTTTATTAAAAATATTAAAATATAGCAGTTCACAAATCTATTTCATTAATATGCGAGACATTCATCCCAAAAGAGAAACAACTCATTTATGCAATTTGTGTTCTGACAATTATTGTACAAAAATAAAAGCAGGTGAATGAAATACTTCATCACCACACACGTGCGAAAAGAGAATCCATAAATTTGAATACATTACGTTTTCAAGAAAATGGCAATGTCAATGTCGTGCTGCAAACTGTAATTAATACTAAGAAAACCTTGCTTTATACCTTTCTCGTACACTTAAGTGCGACATCTTGTAGATTAATTGGCAAAAATTAAGTAAACCTCACGCAATAACTGTTAATTCTTGGGGTGCGGTTTCTTTCAAGTTCTCATTCATCTTCAATGCCTGTCCGAGGACCAATATCAGCACAGAGTATAGATCGTGGACCGCTCGTCGCACATACCAATGCCGTTCCCATCAGTCGTGATGACGACTTCATCGCCGCAGGTGGGCGCTATACACTTGCCGGGCGTCGCTTCTCCTTCGGCTCTCTTTCGCAGGTTTCCGACACCATTCGGGATTTGCTACTGCATCCGAACGAGATCGCGAAGTGTCGAGAGAACCCTCTGACGCGCCAGGGGAAGCGTATCCAGCTGGCGAAGATGTTGATATTGATATCGATACCGGTCTTTTCGCTCGCGATCCTGGCCGTCATGGATCTTCATGACATAGCACGTGACAACATCGTGAATGTGGAAGTTCGAAACGTCATCAGATTCAGGTAAGTAATGCAGGGCCTAATCGACTTATACTTAAAAGGTCCTTTAAAGTAAAATACCAATTATTGATGATCTCTCTTATGTCTTAGGTATTTGAAACTCTGAAAGTCATGAACTAGACGACTCGGATTTCGCTCTTTTTATTTCCAGTTCAATCAATGGCACTTTTTTTCATTTGATAAATAAAGAAACTAGAAATAGATTGAAATTAAGATCATGTTAGAATTACGTAATACGTCAATATAATATCTAAATGTGATGGATTCTGCTACTGAAGTTGTTTTTTGAAATTCAATGCGATCGTATTAAATTAATTGTTGATGTTTTCAATAAGTTTTAAACAAACTTCAAACACGTATGAATACTACCATTACATTTTAGCAAACATTTTTAACAAGCATTCTATGAAACAAACAACTAAATATTTACATATTAATTAAAGTAGCAAATATCCTACATGAGACAAACTTATTATTTATAATCTTGTTTTCTTCTCTCTTCTCTCTCCTCTCTCTCTCTCTCTCTCTCTTTCCTTCACTCTCTTATCACCAGCCGAGACATCGGATTGCTGCTCAGCTGTCTACAGAGAGAGCGTGACATGAGCGCCCTCTACGTCAGCCAGATTGGTCCAGAGAACAAGGCTTTTCTTTCTGAACCGTACGAAGCAACAGACAGCGCACTGCATGAACTTCAGGACTGGCCAGCAGAGAACTCCATCATCAATGAATTGCCCTTTTTTAGGCAGAAAAGTGACTTTCAGGTATTGACATCATGGAATAACTTACAATTGTAGATCTTCGATTCACAGTGAGTCGCCAGGCACAACTATTGTTTATCACAAAACACCGCCTGAAGTACCCTCCTTGTTCATGTTGAGAAAACGTTCTAATATTTCAATAGCCACTACATTTGGTGATTTCGACATAATGAAGTTCCATCTACGATTCCTTTTTTGTTTTAATGAAGAGCGTTTTTTTCCGTAAGTGCAACAACCACAGTATCAAAACAAAAAAACAATACTATGTTCGTTATGATAGTGATTTCATGTACCCAAACCAATCGAAAACATGAATTTCATTTAGTAATTCTGTAAAGAGATATTGCAAGTTTTAATACAAATCCACAAAAGACGACTTGCGAGGGAAAGAGGGTGCTTCAGACCTTCAGTTATCGGTCAGAGCTTGACAAAAGGCACTTCACCGACTTTAAACATCCCCTCAGACTCATCAGCGTTGTCACGATCGTTAATATCGTCATCGTCATTTTCCCTTTTCTTAGGCCCATTTAGCCAACCATCGTCGTGGTCTTCACCGATCGAACACGACCGCCTACCTTGAGATTCACTTCTACACCGATCCTCTCCGAATCATCATCGACTGGCTCTACGATAGCGTGGGCAACTCCAAGGGGCATGGACTCTGGCGAACGTTGGTGGCGTATCAACTGCTCATCGTAAGCAACGTGGATACCGGAATTGAACGCACGCTGGGTAAGCTTAGGAGAACCCCTTTAAAGGTACTATGTCCCTTTTGCAGCCAACCTCAAATTCTGTAGAACTTTGCAGGAATTATGAATATGTCGTGTATGTCCTATCTGTGAAATTTAAACGTTAGCAGTGTCCTCATATTCAAATTATGCAAGGAAACCCGTTTACTTGCTAGACTTCACTGTCAGACACTATTGAGTGACTGACTGGCCTTTTTTCTTATTTGGTAATAACATACATGAAAAGAGTTGTAAAGGGTACATGAGCATTTGTCTACATCAATAACCCACTTCTTGTGATGGCCAAGATTAAACTGATGGAATCTTTGCGCAGCATAAAACGTATGACCATTCGGTACAATCGTCTGTAAATCAAGACTATTACTTTTGGGCTCTATAGCCCTAAAGTCGATTTGACAACTAATAGTCGTTATTTTCCCACTTGAAGACATTTTCAAGCCCCACCTTTTTTAGGGAAGTTCTAAATTAGTATTATCTTTCAAATGCAGTTGGAATTTAACTTTTTCATTTTTTTGGCCTGCAAATGGGACATAGTACCTTTAAGTTGGGTTTGAAGCAATCGACTTAAAATGCTATGATGCATTTTTGGGACTATGACGTGTATCGAGCTAGGTTCCTGAGAAAAGCAAACGTTCAATTCAAAAAACATTATCTAAAAAAAGTAGGAAACGTAGATTATTTCATGTCGTCTCGCACTTTCCAAGCAAACGTAGAGTGGTAAAAATGTGGCAAAATTCTTGTCTAAGACATACAATTATTATTTCCCTTGGGTTTTTTGTTGTTGCTGTTTACGCTTCAGTCACGTTCAGAAGTAGTTATTCAACGGCTTTTTGCAATTTCCCCTGGAAAATTAGAAAACTATCCTTATACTTATAATGCCATGCCCCTTTTCTAGGGATAATAGTGTGATGCTCGGTTCTGTAGGTATATGCTAGCCATGCAAGAATAGTCCCTAATAGAACGGCGCTAGACTTTTTTTAAATGTAAAATTAACGTTACCATTTATTATTTTAACCTATTTATGGGGCCAGAGGAGGGGGCCCGGGCCCCTGGGCTCCTCCCCGCCCCCCCCCCCCTTGGATCTGCCGCTGGCTACCTAACTGCCACTTAACAAACGCTATTTTCTTGTTTGTTTCAGGTTCATTATTCTTTTCGCAAGGTGGTTACTACCGGCACGAGGATTACGTCTGGTATCTCGAGAAGTACACGGTTGGTACGTGGAATTTCGAGGCAGCCAAGCGTTACTCAACTCTCATTACAAGCCTTTACCATGAACTCATTGGAAACCAGATCAACTTAACCTATGTCGTCGAGGTATGCTAACTTAATCATGATAATAATATTCTGCTTTTATATAGCGCTTTAATAATAAAACGTCTCTAAGCGCTTTACATATATACTGTTACCCCGGTCACTGGATTCAGTGCTTACCCGCACACACTGTGTGCACATTCTCCACTCCCTGGGGAGCATTCCAGCCAGGCGTTACCTGACGCTCAAAAACTTACCTACTACTACTCCTAACGCTACAGCTCCTCTTCCTTCTCCTCCTCTTCTTCCTTCCCCTCTTCCTCCTCCTCCTCCTCCTCCTCCCCATCCTCATCTTCTTCCTCCTTCTCCTCCTAACGTTCCTTATCTTCCTCCTCTTCCTCTTCCTCCTTCTCCCCCTCCTCCTCCTCATCTTCCTCCTCCTCCACCTCATCATCTTCCTCCTCCTCCTTATCTTCCTCCTCCTCCTCTTCCCCTTCCTCCTGCACCTCCTTCTCCTACAACTACTTCTACTGCTACTACTAATATTACTACTACTACTACTACTACTACTACTACTAATACTGATAATAATGGTAGCCAGTGCCATCTATATACAGAGTTTGGCCAACTTGGTTTCACTGGGTCGCAACATGGCGTATATTCTGTTGTTTTGTGCTTGTCCGACAAAGCAGTAGTCGCCATATTGTGTCCAACTCGAACCAGGTTGGCCAAACTCTGTGTAAAGATGGCTCTGATGATAGCAACGTTGGAGCGCCAGGAGCGTCGCCGTGTGACATACATTTGCACTTTACAAGACTGAAGAGGGCTTGACGACTTTTGGTAATACCGTTACTATCATTATAAACTTTTACTTTTACTATCAATAATGATATTACTATTACTTTCAATATTGATATAACTATTTTTGTCATTATTATTATTATCGGTAGTAGTATTGTTGTTGTTATTATTATCATCCTTACTTTTTTTTATCATTTATTCATTCATGAATTCAATCATTCATTCATTCATTCATGCATTCATTCTTTTAAGAATTCATTCATGCATTCATTCTTTTAAGAATTCAATCATTTATGAATTCACCCATTATTTACTCATGTTTTATAAATTTATTCATTTATTTACTCATTTATATTGTTTAGATTATGCGGCAGGAAATACTAGACGGTGAGAGCACGAGTCGAGAACCCAACTTCGAGGACGCTACGCTGTGGTTTGAGAAGATGACTGTCTACATCGATATCCTGGAGAACTTACAGAAGAACATGGCGGATAAGATCCTAGAACGTCTGGGTGCCGACATGGAGAATGATACCAAGGCTATAGCTATCAGTATCTTCCTCGTCATCCTGGTTGTCATCATGTGTCCTCTCATCCTTCGAGCTTTCTGGACACTGACCACTTCGATTCAGGTGAGATATTCTGTCCTTAAAGGGATCCGGTAACTTTGTCTCAGATTCTGGAACAAAACCCTGGATTTAGCTCATGCTACAATGATAATTATAAACCTTTAGGTCAGTCAGGAATCCCATGACTTTTACAAGCCGATCGCCTGTCTGATTATCAAGATATTTCGATTGGAATTCGAAATTTCTTGTAACACTACAGTTTATTGGGTAAAATAAGTATGGTAAAACCGGTCACACATTTTTAAAAACTTTTTTGAGGCACTTTATGATAATTTTGTAGCGCATTTAGGGCTTCAATATTACACCATATCACATACACTGATAATACGTAGGGCCATGCATCTCAACTGGAAACATCGTTAAACAATGCGTTTTTGTCCTCATTCTATTTATCGGCAACGCACTAATCTACATTTGCCACTCTCCCACCACCCAGATGTAGGAAATAGGTAGGCCTACCTGGTAGGAAGTTACCCCTTGGATTCTGTTAGCGTCTTTAGGGAAGCTGGGCTAAAGCCAGGGTATATTACTTTGTAGGTGCCATGAGCATTCTGGGATGAATACATGCTCAAAATATTAATGTAGCCATGATTTTTATTATTATTATTATTACAATTTTCAACAGGATCGCAAAGAGTTGTTGAGAAATCAACTTAAAGAGAAAGTTGAGTTCTGGGAAGAGGTGGAAAATAATTTTTTAGTTTGGAAGAACATCAGATAAAAAATGTTCCCTAAAAAAAGCATGGCTCTTCAAATGCCTTAATATTCTAAATATGGCATGCCACATGTTCATGTAGTCCCATATACATCTTTCTGGGTACAATGCTTTACCTTTACCAAGACTGGGCCAAATTTGTTATTTCGATGATTCCAGGACCTTGCAGTACACACCAATACTTAATTGCTAGATGATCAAACTTTTCTAATCGATTCCACAACGTTTCGTTCACAATGCAATCGCATGACCAGAACTCAACTCAACAAGGGTACTTTCAATATATCATTGTATTGCCATCAGTAATATAATATAAAGTTCACAATTTCAATAGGTGATTGGCATGATGTATACAGCTATTTAATTTCCTCAGGTTGATTTTTAAAATGTTCTAATGGCAATCTTTCTGATCACTATTGTAAACAGAACTGTGCATTGTCCTTGGCAACGCAGACGAAAGCTTTGAACACGGAAAAGAAGAGAGCCAATTGGTTGCTATGTTCTATGTTGCCCGAGACAGTAGCCAATCAGCTGATGCATGGATACAACGTCCAGGCTGAGTGGTACGACAGCGCCACTGTCTTTTTCGCCGACATCTTCGGCTTCAGTCGACTCTGTGCCGAGAGCAGCCCGATGCAGGTATGTATGGGCCTTCTGATGAGGTTTAGATAATAATTATATGGACCGATGCTTTGTGATGCGAAAGATTTTTGGGCGAAATTCATTGGAATCCACTATGTCTTCAAAATCGATTAATCAGTAACAAATTGCCTACATTTATTTTGAAAAATTTGAAAAACAAAATTCGGAAAAGCCTTTGCAGACATTCACATTTCTAGAAGCAAAGAAAGGACTGCATTCGCTATTTACATATAGTTGGATATTGAGTAAAATGTGTCATAGCAGCTTAAAACGAGGGACAGGGTGAGAGAGGGAGAGAGAGAGAGAAAAAAAAACACGGTTCTTAATAAGATTATTTAAACTGTTCAAAGTTACATTAAATGTATTGGTAGCAATTTCCATATTTTTAATGTACATTGAAGATCATAGAAAGTAAAGAATACAAAATTATGACCAGTCCTTACGTTTTTATGTTTTTTGTCAATTCTTCAAATGTAGGAAGGGGAATAAGAATACACAACACCCTAGTTATATTCAAAGTAGGGGAAGTGTTTTAATGTTACAATATTGGTTCATTCACCTCACTCTCAATCCAAGGAATGAGGATTCGAATCTCAACCCGGCACTAAGGTCTATTCGCAAGACATTAATCCTAATTTTGCCACTCTCTACCCAGGTGTAAATGGGTACCTGGTAATTGCTGGGGTAATGATAATTGCAGGGCCCTCACTTAGGAAGTACAGGTAATGCTGCTGGAGCTTCCCTGGGTCAACACAGTTATTATTATTATTTTAAGGAAATCAAAATAACGATTCTGGTAAGATGAAAGTAATGAGGAAACGCGGTTTGTTATTTTCTCTGATCCCTTAGGTGGTTGAAATGCTGAATGGATTGTACTTGGTCTTTGATTCACGGATTGAGCACTACGATGTATATAAGGTCGAGACGATCAACGAGACCTACATGTTAGCTTCCGGTAAGAAAACTAAAGTTCCGAAGCACTAACGTCATATTCGCTCGTCGTCAAGGTTAAAGATAAACTTCAGTAGGCAGTAGATCTACTGGTAAAAAAAAAATTAATTCTCACAGAATCAAACGAAACTTACACTGAATGTTCAAGATTACAAATAAATGACATGTGTCAAACAATTTTGGAAGAAAATGTATACTGGCTGAGTAATGAGCATAGAAAGACAAGGAAATCAAGGTAGTACTAGCCCCGACACCATGTGTGTTGTACCATATATAGCTTTCTATGTGAGTGCTTGTTACTTTACCAAGACTCGGTCAATTTTTTTATGATTTTGATGACTCCAGAACCTTGCAGTGTACACCAATACTTACATGCTACATGATCAACTGTTTCTGATCCTTTCCACACCTTATCTTAAACAATGCAATCGCATTACCAGTACTAAAGTTTATCTTTAATGGTTATAAACAACAGAACCTGCGCATGAGGTTCACCGCGAAATCATTCAAGCAACGTTCTGGAGCAGGGCAAATTCAGTGTTTTTGGAATAATGTGTTCATCACATCATTGTTTACTTTGGCGCAAAATTGTTTGGAACCAGCAACATTGACTTTTTGGCCTGTATGACGTCACACTTCGGTATTCTATAAGATATCCGCGCAAAAAAGAACAACTCTTCGTAAATTTTTTAAATGCTCTTCATCCTTTTGATTAATTGAAAAATTCTATATGTTCAAGTTGAATATACTTTTGATTTCATGTACAAGTGTATAGAATTTTGTTTATTGGTTGTTTTTTTTGCGTGTTTGTTGTTGTTGTTGTGGTTGTTATATTTTTGTACAGTCAAACCTGTCTATAGCGACCACCCAAGGGAAACACAAAAAGTGGCCTTTGTAGACAGGTGGTCATAATTATACAGGTTCCTTTAGTAAATGATTCAATGAGAAAACATTTTCAAGGGAAACAACAAATGTGGCATTTGTAGACAGGTGGCCTTTGTAGACAGGTGGTCACTAAAGCAGGTTTGACTGTATTTGTATTTTTTGTATTTCTTCAGACAATCAGGAAAAACAAGAGTGTCTCCAGATGGAGCTGCATTTCCAAAAAGATTATTTATTAACGTATACAAATTTAATAAAATTTATGACCATTATGAAATAAAGTTTGGAAACAACGAAATACATTGATAAAATAGTTAAGAAGGTATAATATAAAATATGAATTTAAAATTCAAATTTATTTTTTATATCAGATTAATATATCAAAAATATAAATAAAATTGAATAAACATAAAAATGGTGACAACACAATTATCAAAAATGAATTACTAAAGTCTGTGGTAATACATTGCACGAAGATGTTGCTGTTGTTGTTAAAGTTGTTGTTATTGTTCTATTGCAACTTCAAAAATGTCCACTCTCCAAAATTGTATAAAGTCAATCAGCGCCATGACTTCTTTTCCAGTGTGATATGGGACATCCTCGTGTTATGCATGCAAATATTTGTGTCCTTCTCTCTATAAACCCTTCTCATGCTGAAGAGATATTGTAGAGGTGTTGTGGTCGAGTGGATACGTCGCCGGACTGTCAATCACAAGGTCCGCGGTTCGAGTCCCGCTGCGGCACGTTTGGCAAGACATTGATCGACATTTGCCACACTCCACCCCCAGGTGAAGTAAATGGGTACCTGGTAGGAATTTATTCCTTGAAACGCAGCGCGCGTAACAGCTGCACTGCTAAAGCCAGGGTAATTATGCTGCATTATTGTAGAGCGCTTAGAGACTTCTGATAAAGTAAGTGTTAGGCGCTACACACTAAGAAAAAATGGTGCAACTGTGCACCTTTAGGGGTTCAAACCGATGCAACAATAGCAGCACCTTTAGGGGTTAAATCCTGCACCCTTCAAAAGGGTGCCAGATTGAACCTTTTTGGGGAAATGTTAGTACCCTTTATGGTTCAATCCTGCACCTTTAGGGGTGCAAACCGATGCAACAATAGCAGCACCTTTAGAGGTTAAATCCTGCACCCTTTAGGAGGGTGCCAGAATGCACCTTTTAGGAGACTTGTTAGTTCCCTTAATGGTTCAATCCTGCTCCTTTAGGGGTGCAAACCGATGCAATAGCAGCACATTAAGGGGTTCAATCATGCACCCTTTAAAAGGTGCAATCCTGCACCCATCATCGAGGAATACTCGTGACATTTGCTCGTACACAAATACATATTAAACATGCATGATGTTTCTTGGTTACTGTAATCATATAATCAATATATATATTGCTAAAACGTGAATGTAATTGTAACATGATCAGACAAATTAATCTATTGGTTAATGATTGCCGAAGGAAAATACAAATCACAAATTTGATGTGCATTGTCATAATTTGCTTAACAAATCATATGATAAATGTATTTTTATGTGAACACGTGGAAAGTAATCATGAATATGCATGCAATATGCAAACTTTTATTTTGCACCTTTTTGGGTCGTTAGGGTTCATTTTTGTGGGAAGGGTGCAAAATCTTATATTGCACCCTTTTTTGAACCCCTTTTCCTTCAATAGGGTTTATTTTTATGTAAAGGGTGCAAACTCTTATTTTGCACCCTTTTTTGCACCCTTTTTTCTTAGAGTGTATATAAGCAAATATAATTATTATCATGCTTCTGACCCATTCCCTTCTCTCCTGTACTCCTTCCCCTATCACCCTATGTCTGTTGGTGCTCTCTAATTCAGTGCATCCCTTTAATCTCATTTAGTTAGTAATCATGCTTTGTGTAGTGTTGCTCCACCTTCGTCTGCACGTCTATGGACACTTATCATTTATTTATTTCGATTGTTACTGATCTTGTGGATTATATCATGTATGTGTCTTATTGCTTGTAAAACATTTCATGTATACATTTTTATTAATTTCAATTTGGACGAAGGTCTACCGGTAAGGAAAGGGGACCAGCACGCCGGAGAAGTAGCAACTATCGCCTTGGACCTTCAGTATCATGTTAGTTTTCTGGAGGTTCCCCACAAGAGAAACGAGAAGCTGACTATCCGAGTTGGTATCCACTCAGGTGAGTTAAAATCGTAAAATAATGCTACTGTTGTTATCACTGGCGTATTCAAAGCCATTGTATTAAATGACATAACTACCACTGCTTTAATGTTTTTTCAATTGCGCCATTTTTCGTTGAAGGCGTACATAGAGCGATTGGTCTACTTAACGGTAGGTCTAATAAACGGTCCCTTAAAATGACCGATTGCAGTGCCTTCATTTGTTTGCCTCTACAATTATTCCTTACCAAAATATTGTGAAATTTACATCGGTAGTTAAAGGCTAGGAGATAGTTGTTCGGATAGCATCCTTGCTGACATTTTTATTATACAAACACATAAATCACGTGTAAGCATTATCTTTGTCAATTATGTTCCCTTTTAGGCCCAGTAGTAGCAGCAGTCGTTGGATTGAAGATGCCACGCTACTGTCTCTTTGGGGATACAGTTAATATTGCCTCTAGGATGCAGACCACTGGTGTCCGTGAGTAGTATTCTTTCTTTCTTCTGTTTTGTTTCATAATTTCTTCTTCATCTTCATCTGCCTCATTCGTAGTTTTTTGCATCTTCTCATTCATCAACTGCTTTTTTTAATTTTCTATTCCTGTTTATCTTCTTCCTCTTCTTCTTCTTTTCCTCCTCCTTCTTTTTCTTCTTCTTTTTCGCCTCCTTCTTCTTCTTTTTCTTCTTTTTGTCGGCTTCCTTTACTCTCAAGTATTTTTTTATTCTACGGTGGTACTAGATGGGAAAATAACCAAAACAAAACCCGACAAGAATGCCGCAATTATGAATTTCCTTCGCCAACCTATTTCTCTCTGTTTAATTTCCCTTTTCTTTCTACCCGTTGTATTTCCCCTGTCTTGTTATCTGTTTATGTTTAACTCTTGATTTCCTCACAGCTGGGCGTGTACAGATCAGCTATGAGACATTTGCCGCCCTCAACGATCTGGGAGGGTACAAGGTTGTCAAGCGTGGAGAAATTGAGATCAAGGTAATTAAAAAATTAAAAAATGCAAACCCAAAATTCAGTTGAAGGGTGAGTTTGAAAAGTGTTGCGGTTCGAGTCTCAGACCGAGAATCAACTTACAGGAAGAGGAATTCAAAAGACAATTCTCCTATCTAATCGGCCAACTGAATGAAAAACAATAATTCGTCACCCACAATTAATACAGCTCTAAACAGCATATATTTTCAAAATGAACATAATTTTGTTCATTATTTGGTTTAAAAAAATGTGATGTAATATTTACAATCAGCGAAGAAGAGTTGGAAGCTTTTTCTTCTCCAGCCTGAGAATTAAATTTGATCGAAAGGCCTCTGCAGTCCCAAATAATGTGTTTTATATGACTCCGCAACAGACAAGCCCTAAAGCTACGGTCACAAATCAGAGCAGCGACCGACCGATCAGAAGCCTGCTCGGTCGCTGCTGGAATTTAGGCATCGCCCAGCGATTAGGTCGGTGCCCGGGCGGCGACCGCCCAGGCACCGAGCGTATTTTGGGCGGCGAGTGAAAAGTGAGCAGGCGCCGCCCAAATTTTAACTCCGCGCTAAAACTTCAGCGGCGACCGAGCGATGCCCTAAAAACGAGCAATGCCTGGGCGGCCGCCGGGCAGAATTGGTTAAAAACTCGCCACCCGGCCGCCGAGCAGGCTACTTTTAGGTAATGTGACCATTGCATTAGGTTAAATTATGTATCCACAATTAGCAGTGATTATTGACGAATTTGGTTTATCAATTTTGCTTTCGCCAACGCCCGAATTAGCCTATATAATTTTCGGAAACTGATATATTGAGACCTATGGTTCATGTAAAAGTATTAATTTACAAAACGTATGCATTCAGTTTATAAGAAGATAATATTTGTCTCATACTTATTGATTTTTCCACGTTTTACAGGGTAAAGGACTGTTGACAACTTACTGGTTGAACGGCAAGGATAACTTCGAACATTCTATGGTGTCACTTATCGAGCCCTCGAGCCAGCTTGGGGACATGTCTCTTCATGAGCACAAATACGAGCACATGTACCAGCAGAAATATACCGGTCGAATCCAGATCAGACGGGCTGATCAGTCCGAAAACCTGAACGCTGGCTCGGTCTAAATGGCCAAATCCGGTTTGGTCCGCTTTTGTTGTGAAACATTCAGTGCATAAGGTCACCAGCGGATTTTTCTGTATGGAAAGTCCAATGTCTTATCGATATCACATGTCATAGTGCGCATGACAAGTTCTTTCACTTACGCCATTACATTCAGGTATATTCGTAAAGGCATAATCTCTAGCCACATATGCGATCCTTTAAAGCAGCTAGGTTGCGACCGGCGGTTGCGACGACCCAGCGCACGGTTTTTCCGAAAATCGACCGTCGACAGAAACCTGTCGCCACCTTATATTTTTTTTAAACAACTGAATAAAAGTCCAAACAGAACATTTTAAGCGATGACTGCGGGCGCAGCGGTCATCGGTCAGGGCCTATTCTTCACTGCTTACTGAGGCATGAATTATATGAATTTAACAATAAATTGGCGTCATTTGCGCCTCGTGTGCATCAGGCTATGGATAAACTGGCAGCTTGACATCATTGTGGTAATATGCGAATGGTAAGAATGCGAATGTTATGAATTGAATATGAATACACACTTGTAATTCACAGTCATGAAGTTTGGATGCATTTTGTTCTTGTTTTGTTTGCGTACATATAATATCAACCAAGTAAGTCAAGAGGGCTGTGTAAAACTTTGTTACGAACTCTATTTATAAATGTAACTTTGATAATAGGGACTTTTAGATTTACACGACGACAACGTGGACTGCTACGTGTGCCGTCATTTAACTCATAGCCTACCATGAGGGTGCATGCACACTATCTTTATAGTGCTTTGTACATGCGAGCAAGCTATTGTTACGCTGCCATGTGCGTGCTTGCACACTTTCGTAGTAGCAGTTATTGTTCATGCTCAATGGACTGTGCTTTGTGTTTTGCACTCGCTATTCATAGAACCCTCGCGTTAATCAGATTATCTCAATATAAACTTGGCACTCCGTGATTTGGGGCTTGGCACAATGGGGATTAGCATTGTGGAATGTTAAGAGTTAAAGGCTCGTCACACGTAGCAGTCCACGCAAATCTAAAAGTCCCTAATAGCACTTCTCCTGTCACAAGCTCTCGTTCAATTGTCACGAATATTTAATATGTAATATTTGATAGGCCTATATCTGTATCAGGACAAGGCTTATCTTACATGTTAATCGCTGTGACACTGTTGTGGAAATTCTATTCTTGAAATTATTTTCTTTAATAAGTAATATTGTAAACTTAGGTATTATTTTTGTACAATATATATCGTCTTCTGTATAAACAGGGCCTCATCTTATAAAGAGTTACGCGATTGATCCCAATCAATCGTAAGTCCTCCACTTAATCGCAAGTTTGCAGTCTCCTATCTCTCATGTACATAATTGCGATTGATATCTATCGCAAAAAGGTTCAATTGATATCAACTCTTTATAAGACGGGGCCCAGGGACGCATGTATTGCAAACAAACCTAATTACACTTTTTTATGCTTAAATATGACTTTGTTGCACGATGCTGTTAGAAAGTGACAAATGTCAAATGTTGATATCGTATGTATTTCTTTGTTGGCACAGTGCAATCGTGAACCCATTGGACTAGAATGCCTAGAATAGAACCAAATGTATATTTTGGGAAGTATTTCGTCCGGTATTTGTTTTTATCATTCACCTCTAATTACCTTGATTTTCACAATTTTTTTGTGGTAAATGTGTACAGCATCGGTTTATTGTTATTCTGGTTAATAAGACAAAATATTCCTTCCCGATATTGTAATTTCAAGTAGGTGTTATGTTATGACTTATCACAACTCTTTTCATTCATTTCAAACATAAAGTAAAAGCTTGTGTTGATGATAACCAATTGATGGTTCATTTTACTTGACTACTAAGAAAACACGTGTATGCGTGTAAGTAAGCAAAAGTGGGACCCGCGGCGGCTGTAAGTCCACTCCGAGGAACTTGGTAATGATTAATGCCTTACCAAAGGGCACTAGTAAGTCCACTTGGTTTTGAACCCGGGTCCTCCCAGTTACGAGACCACTGCTCTATCACTGAGCCATCTCTTGCCATTACATTTTATGATGAAAGGCATTGTCGATGAGATATCCATAATTGTTCGTTACAAAGGAGTATGATTTATTGTGCATTAATGTTTTTGGAATATTTAAATAAGTTTTGCTGAAAGCCACAAAAGCTGGAAAATATCGAAACCAGATACGAGTATATATTTTGTTACCACTGTTGAAACAGGCTTCTTCTGGCATTTACCGGTTGAGCACAATTAGCCTAGTAGGTACATCGGTGATAAATTTGATTTGCATTGTGTCTCGGATACCCTTTACATTTTATAGTATTAAATTGTGCATCAGTATGGACATTAACGTACATTTTGAATATAAACAAAAACGTATCTTTATTATGTTTTTCTTTATTCACCTTAACAGTCGGATGAAACTTCATTAACCGAAAACATTTAAATACGCCGAAAACTGCGTAAAACGCACGATGAATATAGAACCCTCATCGTTCAACGCGAGGCAGTGTTTAAACAATTCAAGGGGAAATCTTGCAAAGTCAACCGGTCCTTGATATATTTTTGATGGCACAAACAATGCCAACGGTCATCTATGTTCAAAGCTCTTAAAGAGTCGTCATATAATATAACTTGCAAATGACACAAAATTGAAAAAAACATATCCATAGTATTATTTCAAATGAATATACATCAATAACAGGTTGAAAATGCGAGATTATCCACCATGTCTGTTGTGCACACTGCCTTGCATTGAACGATGAGGGCTCCATATTCAATCGTGCGTTATTCGCCGTTCTCCGTGTATTTACCTGTGCTCGGTTTTCCGAAGTTTAGTCAGACTGGTTGATATGAACTTGCATATGTGTTGTTGCGACTATATTTGATTACATAATAGGATCGATACTTTCTGAATCGGTGGTAAGGTATTGAATTACGAAAGTAAAATCCCAAAGGTAATTTCATCTTGAAAAGAGTTCTCAAAATAAAGTTGAGTTCTGGTCATGCGATTGTATTGTGAAAGAAACGGTGTGGAATCGATAAGAAAAAATAAATCATTTAGCAATTAAGTATTACTGTGTGCTGCAAGGTTCTGGAATCATCCAAAATAATGATAAGAAATTTGGCCTAGTCGTGGTAAAGTAATAACCACTGTACACAGAAAGATGTATATGGGACTACACAAACATGTGGCATACAAACGTGGGCCTCATTTTTAAGCTGTTACCTGTCATATTTAGAATATGAAGGCATTTGAAGAGCCATGCTTTTCAGGGAACATTTTTTAACTGGTGTTCTTCCACACATGCATAATAACAATGATATTGCTGACACATCATTTTTCACATCTCCCAAGCGGAACTCAACCTTCTCTTTAACTCCGATGATATTTGTTCAAATCACAGTATATAATGAAATCAACTGTACACAAAGTTCCAACTCATATCATTCCATCACTCCATTCAATGACACAAAATTAGTTCTTCTGCTTGAAGAACAAAATTATCGACAAGACTGTGAAAGACAAAGTTCATGATCATTAATGCTATCTTTATTTTGGTAATAAAAAGAACAAGACAATTTGACAAAGACAATGAGTGATGAAATATTTTATGGGATAAAACTATCTGGTTTAAAAAGGTCAAGTAAAACCATCTATTATATGTATATAAATGGGAAGGCTGAATAAATGATGTCCATTGATAAACAGAACGAGTTACTTTAAATGAGATGTTTTTGTTAATGAATGGATAAGTTACGATTACGAAAATATTTTGTATCAAAAATAGAAATAAAAGGTGACGAATATCATCAAATGCATTTCTTAAAAAGAAACACACGTTTCGATCTCAATTAAAAGAATTGATCTATAAATATTTTATTTCCATACTTCCTGTGCATGTAGTCATTGAGAAATTAATGTGTTTATGTAATAACGTTAAAATATTCTTTAAATATCCATTTACCCTGTTTAATGTAGACGATTCAAAACATTAAATTATTTCTTAGCCTCGACTGCTTATATTCATAAAAATGCCCCAAAATCTAACAATAAAAAAAACAACAAAATATTCCCCAAGCATGAAACAATAATTTTCGATATCATGAGACTTGGTAGGAAATATTTTGGAGAATTGGGGTAAGGTTTAGATTGGGGTTGAAGTGTTACAAAAACATGTTTTCTTATCCCTGTTAAGCCCTGTCACATTTGTACCATAAACATATTTTAAAGACATTTTTAAAAAACTTCATAAATACACTCATTGTGCGCATTAAAAATAAAATATTGCTGTAGTGTAGACAATGCTATGAGAACATATAAACCTTTGGCGTTTTGATGATAACATTTTTAAAACATCAGGTAGACCAGCTACATAAAATATAAAAACAGTTTCCAATTACATCATAATGCTTAGCATCCGTGCTATCATGACCAAAAATACTATGTAGAATAAAATGTAAAAAAGTTAAATACAACCATAAATTCACATCGTTATATGCGTATATATCTTACATGTATCTTGTGTTCAGTGAAAGCAAATAGTTTTTTGTGCAAAGCAACTACATTGTACATGTATTTCGAGAATTCAAATTAAACTTAGATTATGAGCAGGTGTCAGCTCATAATGATTTCGTCGATCAAATTAATTTTTTTATTTCTAAATCGAAAACTGTTTCAATTTGTTCCGAGGCAACTCTGAACACGAAACTGCATCGCAACTTTTGAAGAGTTCTGAAGTTTACAAACAGGTTCAATGCAGGTATTACGTTTATAACAAGGCAAGGAAGTTTGCCCCATACTACATCAAAGATTTGTGTAAACCTAATGAACTGTGAGGCCTTGGCAACCCAAATATAGACGACATCACACAAAATATGAAGAAATGCATACACAATGTTAATTGATTTCTAACGTACGGAACACAACAGATTAAATACCCTGGACCTACCACACAGAAATGATGTCATTATTGTCTCAAAAAACGGTTGCAAACATCAAACTATCTATGGCAATGTTGTATCGGTACAATTGGTATAGAAACTACACTTGCACGCGTGTATACGTAACAAGTTTCAGTATTAGGCCTATACAAAAAATATATGTTGTATACTTGTATTGCCCTTTGCGACCGACCCAAATATCTTGAAATCTACGGTCGGTTAAAAAAAAATGTATTGAAGCATTTAAAACTGAAAAATATCAGCCCAAAGAGGGAGTAAAAAAAAAATATTTAAACAAAAATTTAAAACAAAAATTCCGACCGACTGACCCATGTTTTGGAACCTGAAGGGCAATACAACATCTTTTTTTAAAGGCCTTATGGCGCTTTGGTACTCTGGATGAACAGCCGTCGTCTATACCAGGCGTGATTTTAATTGCGTTATTACCAACGCCAATCACCAATCGAGGCTATGACAGAAATCAGGCATTACGCCAGGAATTCAACAAAACGTGTAATCTGTTCTGTTTGCAATCATTCTCGGTCCGATATCATTCTCGGCTGGTGCGTCAAAGACGACTAGCGTGAATTGCTGACCGAGTCCTAAGTCATGCAAATGACGCCACGTGTGAAGCGTACTTTAGATGTACTGCGTAATAGCTCTCTCATATCGTAGAGGGCCTGCTCTTCATAAATGTAAATAATCACGTGCGTAAAATAATAGAAGAAGCATACCTTTAGTAGACCCAATTCCTCCGGGAACGGTCGATAAACGTTCAACTTTCATTCAGGAACAAGTTTGAATTGAAAAATCAATGTTCTCTCCGTTCTGGTTCTGTTTTAGGTTTAAAACCCGGGTCACACCAACGGACCGAAACCAGACCGAGCGAATTTAGATTATCAAGTCTGTCAGGAGTCAGTTTGGCCGTGCACATGGGCTGGTGTACTATATGATAGTATAGGCATTATGACTCTAGTTTAAGCATAACTTTTCGTTAGTAAACCACACTAATCACAACCTGGAGAGACTGATCATACCTACGCTCGGCTGGAATCATGTGGCCGTATTGTTCTACAAGATCTCCATAATTTTGTCCATATCTTGAACAACTGGTCGGTGTTTGGTAGCTCACAGCGGGCTATGTTCGTCGGGGACACCAAAACACCAGGACCACACCTAGGAGCAACCCTACCAAGCTTAATACCCGTAGCACCGTGATAGAAGACTGCTTCTGTCGGAAATGTACCACCAGCCCAATCTATAATAAGAGAATTAACACAACAAAAATGAAAAGTGTAGTTTACAAGAGAGTATCTATACAAAATATTAAAAAAGTCGTTTAACTTACAAAAATAACTCAATTCTGAGGTATTCTTATTACGCTTTGCAACGAAGTGCATTGAAGTATTTTTGATCTAAATTTTTGTTTAACATCCTGAAGTTTTACATTCATTGATCTGTGTAAGAAGTTGATGATAAATTAGATGACATCGTTTCCTCTTGGGCTGTTGGCAAACGGCTGGGTTTTTAAAAGTTTCTCCAGAAGCTATCAATTCACGGTAAAATATATCGCATTATATTCTTACTCGACTTACTATGAAGATGACTCTTTTTAATGTTAAAGGGAAATCCAACCCTTGTAACAAGTTCATTAGTAGGAAAGCAGATTAATAACAGAAATAGAGTGGCGAAGTTTGAAATAAATCGGACCAATAATAAGAAAGTTGTGAATGTTTGAAATATGAGATCGCTAAGTCTATGCTAATCTCAAGTTTGGTCAGTGAGTCGTGATGTAGACGCGGATAGCTCTCCCGTTTGTCGTGTACAAAATTATCACTAATTTATTTTTTTCCACTAAAAAGCCTTCTCCGTCGGGGCGCTACTTAAAATATATTATATCATTATTGGTCCTCTATAGAGAATGTACCCTCCAGAGCCACATATCTTTAAAATTGTGTGTATAGGAACAAATGGGAAACAGAGACATTACCGATTCAGCCAATTTGAAGTCCCCATACCTGTAGGGATTAAAACTTCACAACTTCCTCGTTTTGTGTCCGATTTCATTCAAACTCTCACAAGTCTACTTCTCTGATTGCCATGCTGTCCTCTAAGTAGTTTGCTATCAATGTTGGATTTCCCTTTAAGTATGCAATTTGTCAAATACGATATTTTTTTCATGTGAAGACCGGAAAGTAAGGAAAACCTCTGAGGCATTCTTCAGACTGGTGTCAAGCACGTCATTTCCATCAATCAGTTGCACTATCAATGGAATTATTTCATATTACTCTTCAAGACAACAACAGCCAAACTGTTGCAAACCAGACAGTCCTTTTCAGGACTACTCACATGGTGAAACAGCAATTAATATTTAATTTCATTTATTTTCATATTTCTCATGTTACATATACATTTCAAATAAAGAGCAAGTTGTTTTTCAATGATACATAATACATAACATAAAAATAAGTGGTCAATATAGAGTACTGATTTAACTGGGAGAAATATGATGGGACCTACATGAAAGCAAACTTGGAAAGCTGTAGGCCCCGGTGAAATAGTTTGTGGTAATGAATGGAGGACGGCTATAAATAGTGACCAGTCTAAATGAATCAAAAGATAAAAAGAGAAACAAAAAAGAAACATGCGGTGGTGCTGTTTATAGTGCCCCTTCCTTTCTTACAGTGCAGATACAAGTACACATACTTAAATTCTTCCTGTTTTCACGAAGTGACGGTAGTGAGGAAATTCCGCACTCAAATTGTATGGGATTACCATTCACTACCGTCACTTCGTGAAAATAGGGACGAATTATTGTACAATAGGTGCTCAGCTGGTAAACAAACATTACATATATGAATGAAAGAAGAATAGTATTGTCACCATTCACGGTAAAATTTCTTACCCATCCTCCTTGGTCGATGATCCATCTGGCAAGCCTCTTCCGAACCAACTTCTGCAATGCGTCTACCAGTGCGTTAGCCTGGCTGTGCTGACCCTGCTTCACGCACTCAACGATGAGGGCGCCTGTCAGGGTGTACAAGGCTACGATTCTTGCCCACGTGATACCTATATACGAATAAATAAAAAGCGAGATTATCATAACATTAGCAGCTTACGAATAACAGTTATGCTTTAAAGGGGGTATCTCACTGAGCGGCGAAATTCAATGCTTTTGAAAAGGTTTCGAATTTTGGATTCGCCAACTTTTCTGAGGAATGTTGGCGAAACTCAGGGTTCGCCTCTGTGACGTTTAGCGATGTTTAGCGACAATAAGCAATATTTGAACGAATGTTTGCGAGAAGATAAGCAACTATTTGCCAATCCTTTGCCACGACTTATGAATGTTTGGGACCTTTTGCTAACGCCTGGTACTCAATGGGTCAATTTCATATAGGAACAATAATTATGGTCACGTGTATACCGTATTACAACCGTTTGCAAAGGCTTACGACTGTTTTCCAAACGCTTGCAACTGTTTGCGGAAAGATAAATTCTTTGCGACAAGAAAAACTGTTTGCGACAATGAAAACTGTTTGCGAACTTTCTTGCAACCATATTTTATAGTATTAACCAATACCGACTGACGTTTAAAGTAACAGCTAGAACCATGTGATGCATCGCAGGTTTTTTGTAAGCCGAATTCCAATTCGTTACAACTTGTCCTCCCTCCTGATGCAGCCCGATAAAGAATTGTTTTGTCAAATTAATCTACTTTTCTAAACGAGCCAGTTTTTTAACTGTTCAGGTTAAGCTTTCGCCACAACTGGCAGTGCATCTCTTCTGCGAATCGCAGTGGTCGGCCTACAATCCGCATCTGCTTAAGACACACGGTGAGTTATAACCATAATAGCATTAAACATTTTGTATTTTACTTGACTATTCTTACGGCATTAAAACAAAATTATGTTCAAACTATCATGATCACTAAGTGGACGACATTCAATGATCATTGCGATACTATAATGTTACAAGTTTGTAACCAAGATGAATGCTGGCATACAACAAGCCATACTTTGTTATTTCTACATCATTATTCTTGTATTCACGAAACCATAACATAAAAATGAAGGCCTTCTTGTTAGGCTTTATCTGACATGACCATGAATTACCTTTCCTGAATATATCTGCTCCAACTGTATTGTAGACACTAAGGATATTGGCTGGCGACTGGAAGTTGAGTTGTAATTGTTCAGTAATGTCCTCATACAAATACGGGAAGCACTTTTCAAATTCTGTGGCCACCTTGATGAGTTCCTTAGACACATCAGATGGTCCGATCCCAGGATCACCGAACCTGGTCTTCACTTGACCCGACTGGGCATCTCTCTCCGCCTTCTGCCTCAAGAACTGTATCTGATGGGGACCTCGCTTTCCTGCTTTCCCGTAGATGTCTCTGGACAGGAGTTTGTGCTTTCTGAGTTTCACGTAGGCATAGTCTCGGCACAGGACTTTCGCTTGGTTGACAACGTCATCTTCTGTCGGAGGGCTGTGGAGGAGTCTACGGCTGCGGATACTGACTTTCTCGTTGAGCCGTTGACCCAGCTGGTAGAGACCATTGGAAGAGTGTTTGAGATGGCAGGAGAGGAAATGGATGTGGTGCCGGCAGGTGTCCAGGAGACCCTCGCGCAAGTGAGTCAGGATGTCTGTCTTGAGGTAGTCCATCGCTGCACCATCCACCAACCTGTTCCAAAGATCATCAAATCAATAAGAGGGTCACGGTCATGAATGACATGAAATCCTTTTCAACATGTTCTGATATTCCGCTTTAAAAAATGATAAAAATCATGAGGAAGCGAATATGAATGTTATAATTGGTTTATCATCGTTATAGACATCTAGGAAAATAAATAAACTAGAACATCACGACATACCAGAGCCCCGTTGCATACAACTTACCACCCATGGCAAATTTTCCATCACTATCAAATACCGTGGCAACACCACTCAACAGCTAATCAAATCAAGGTCTCCGTGGAGGTTGGCATGGAAAAGTTACCATCAATGCTAAGTTTTAAGCAACGGGGCACTGAAAGGGAATGATTTAGATATATTCCATAATAGTCGGTTGTTCTTACCTATGAACTATATTACTGATTCTGGACAGGCGTTCAGGTATGATCAATGGCTTTGCAAAGATCAGATAGGTAATCTAAAACAAATAAGATCTTCAGAGAACAGCGACTGAACAAATAGTTCTACCGCGAATATCAACAAAGACTGTCACTAATACCACGGGTAGCAAACAGTTCCAAGGGATCAGGACACGAATCCCAACAACTCATGTGTGTTTGAGAGGCAGTGTACACCCTGTTCAAGAGTGAATATTCCTTCGTCTCCTGGAATGATTGTTAGATATATATATATATATATATATATATATATGTATATATGTATATGAAAGGAAATGGTTCTTCGTTAAACTTAACGTAGTTATCATGTAAGTATGATGATAGATGATAGAAATAAGAAGTGTAGATTACCTATGTGTGGGTGAAACGAAGGGGCGATAAAACATCTCTTTGATTTATCTACGGTCTACAAACACGGAAATATGCGAGAGAGAAAAGAAAAAAGAGGGAGAGAGAGTGAAAGAAAGAGAAAGAAGGAAAAAACAGGCCGCCATTGATTTAAACAGGAAGCATGCCTGCGTAGGAAATTTTCTTTGAGAGATGAAGTGAAAAGCAAGGGTCATTGTATTTTCTGAACGAAATTTGAAATGAATTTTGCCCGTATTTAATAACATAAATTATATTCAAGACACACGGATTACTTGTACTGTAAACGACTTATAACTGAGCGGACACTGGCCCAACACAAAGGCAGGGGCAAACACAAGATTGTCAGAAAGGGGGAGGGACATTACTTTTTTCCCCGATCGTGATTATATTCCGCAGATCATTTTTTTCCCCCGGAAATCCCGCAACCATCTCCAGTCGCAAACAAGTTAGAAAAAACACCTCTGAAAAGGAAGAAAAAAAAAAGAGGTTGAACATTCTTTTTTTTTCCTCTTCATTTTCGGGGGTGCTGTTTCTTACTCATTGTCACGACAGAAAATATTCCACGGTCCGAAAGAGGGCTACCGGTCTCTTTTAAGAGTCCTACGTACTGTTGAAGAATGCCAGTTTACATGTTTCTTCTCCTCGATAAAGGAACCCCAAACTCCTAAAGGGCAAGTCCACTCCAAAAATAACTTACTTTTAATAAAAGCAGAAAAATCAGACAAACCAATCAAAAAAAGTTTGAGCAAAATTGGATTACTAAAAAAAAAGTTATGAATTTTTAATGACTATGAAAATCACAAGAGAAATTGGCAACTCACTCATGAGTCTATGACGTCATTGCCTCACTATCCACCAATAATTGTTTTCTTTATATTGATAATATAAATTTCTTATTTTCCCCCTAAAAATCTTACTTCCTTACACCAGAATCCAAGTTATATTGAGAGTAATATGTTTTTGTGTGGATGCACTAATATTATTTTATTTCTTCACATAAATCATGAACAATTTGAATTTGTATAATTTTTGGTGAGGACGTTTAGGGAACTTCCTTCTCTTGTGGGCTTATTAGTGTCTAACTTTATTCATATTAACCATTTTTTTTCATATTACAACCCTCATACCAATCGATGTTGTCAAATTACAAGATAACATTTCATAACAAGGGTTGTTGTGGTAAAATCTGTTGCCTTCACGCTGAGATATGAAAGCTATTCACTACCAGTAATTTTGTCCCGCTGTCATATCTATTGCATTTTATGGAAATCAGAATGGTAGGTAGTGGTGGGAGAGAGAGAGAGAGAGAGAGGGAAAGTCAACAACACCCATGCGGAAATATGTGTACAAGCCAACTACCGTCATATATTCTATAATTCATGCATACATGGATTTGTTTTCTTCTCCAGGCAAACAATCAAGGTTAAGTGATATATTTGTTTCCCTAACCACGTTAAATGAATACACAATCTGCTTGTAAGAAGTTTCAAAGGAATCTGGAATAAACTATCACTGCCTCTTTCTTCCGAAAGAATGTCTTCTCCTTTCTCTGATCATAAAACAAAAAGAAAGTCATTTAATTTGTGTTATAAAAATATGCCCCTAGAACTTAGAGCGTTATTTGCTTTAATCAATCACCCCTTCTCTTGTATAGGTGTAGACCATTTACAAATCCAGATGATATGTGAGTGAATCTCATAGCTTCTAATCAAAATTTTAGAGAGGATATTTAAGCAAGCGATGGGGCGAGGTAAACAGCAAAAACAGACACTTGCCACCCCTCCCCCCCCCCAAAAAAAAAAAAAACACACACACACACACCAGTATATAAAAGATATGTAATCATTTTGCTTCTCGGATAATTCGACAACATAATTCTACCTCGGAGAAACAATGCCATGACCTTTGCCCTTCATTTCCTCAGCGAATTTCATAGGTCTATGATATTTGTTCGTATATTTTAAAAGCCACTATGGTCTCGTACGTTGTTGTATTGGTATTATGATCTACCACTTGTGACATCGCTAATAATATCGCAATGGTGGCCGGTGTTTGTGTATATTTAAAGCAGATAATAATAATAATAATAATAATAATAATACATATGATTTATAAGGCACCAAATCCACTTGACAGTCAAATGCTCAAGGCGCAGCTTGTGCAAAAGATGAAATACATACATGATGCATTTATACAAAGTGCGATAAGAAAGGTACAGACATGAAAGGTAATGGTAATCAATTATAAGCTAAATTAAACAGATATTTCTTAAGATTGTTTTTTAACACCTCAGCAGAACTGCTATTCTTAACCCATTGAGGGAGAGTATTCCATAACGAAGGCCCAGCATGAGCGAAGGTTCGTTCCCCCCACTTTGTTTTAACCCTAGGAGTAACAAGTAAGCCAGAATTTTGAGAACGTAGCTGTCTAGAAGGAAAGTAATGTAAAGATAAGTGTCTTAATGGAGACAGTTATTCACTTGAAGGCGGAACAACATAGATGTAATTGTGCCTGCCAAACTCATCACGGAAATACGTTATCACAACAGTTCCTTGAGACTGATCCTTCGAGTTCGACTAATATCCATGTATAGTTCACGTGGTACAGGCTATAGGACTGCACGAATGGTATTATACCATGAGCACATAATATCACGAGGGTGTAAATAAACCGTTCAAATACACAAATATATATATACACTGGAATTCGATCACACAATCTGTGTGGCAAAATATGGGAAGTGTTCTGGTAAAATAAGTGGTAAAATTTAGAGCCCATAATTTTATAGCCGTGATAACAGTACACCGGTCTACATGAAGGTCTACAAAAAAGACCATGCAATTGAACAGGTTGACAGTTTTCAGTGCTTGCATTGCTAGCGTAACTTTTTTTTTGTTGGTGGGGGGGGGAGGGTAGGGAGGGGGGTTAAGTTTGAAATATACGTACATGTCCGTCCAATATCTTTGCACAAGGAAATTACTTTCAGCACATGCAGCCTAGATGTTGGCATCGACCATGGAACCATGCATACACGTAGCCTATTCTGAGTAGCAGTAGGCCTACCAGTACAAATTATACCAGAACTATAGGTTATACTAGGACATCAAAATAATTGTTTTGATTTATCGAGTACATGCACGAATGGGCTTACCTCCAAATGTTGTCCCGTGAATTTTGAACGAAGTTATTCACCACTACATGCGACGTTATGTGCGATGTCACTGGCAGGAAAACGCTGGTATATAATGGAGTGTGTACCGTCAAGTTAGCACAGGTGGTTGTTTTCGACGTCTGTCGTCTGCAAAGCGAAGATATAAGTGGTATTATAACCCGTTTAGAAAACACACACGGAAGACCAATCCGCATTCCGAGGTCACTTGAAAACAAACACCGTTTGACAAAAGAACCGCGGGAAAAGACCCGGCCGAGTGTGGTGCCACAAAGGACGCAGGTGAGTCTATGCACATAGAACGTATTGTGTGCTCGTATGGGAGACTGATTTCGCGAGAGGAGCAGCTGTGTTATGACGTCAAAAACAGCCTGCATAGTAGAAGATGTTATGAATTATTGAACTGAGCATTGACAAGATTATCGATTTTGGTCAGCTTCCAGCACTTTTCTAACCCTCAAGTTTGCGTGGAACATATTATCTGGTAACTTATGTCTCACCTCTCTGATCATATCGAATATCATTTTCCAAATTTTTACTTGAGGCTATGTTATAATTTATTTGTTTGTTTTGTTTTGTTTTTGTGGGGAGGGGATCGAAGGCAGTATTTTGAAGAGAATATTTCCGAAGCATGTAAGATCTGTAAATTAGACTAAGTTCTTATGGCAGCTGGAAATATACCAAGAAAATCCATTGAAATAAAGATCAATATAGATACGAAACCCTTTCATCCGATTGCTGTGACGTAATTAAAGTTGCGTTTAGTCAAGGGCACTGGCTATTGACAAATTTAAATGCAAGTGAGCGAAGGGGTCGAGCGGGAGGATTTCGGGATGTTTCTTCGTCTAGCTAGCGCCCCCCCCCCTCCCACTCAGTGTTATTTAGGGTACGCATATGCCTGTTCCCGGCACCCTTCCCCCTTTTCAGCATAAATCCGGTGTGTAAAGTTAATACGGGTAGACCTTTTTCTTTTGTTATACGAGCCTTTTCAGCACACCCCCCCCCCCCTCCCTTTCAGCATAAGTCTGGTGTGTAAAGTCAATACCGGCCGGAGATTTTGGGAACACGCATGCGGTCCCTCCGTTCCCGGAGTGAAGGGGCCGGGCTAACGGCCCCCTCTCCCTGTTTCTCCTCCCCTTTCTCAATCCCCCTTCCATCACTCCCTTTTCATCTCTCCCTCCCTCTCATCCCTCCCCCTCCTCCCCTCCTTCCCCCTGTCTCCCTGTGGACCTTTAGTTAAATTTCGATACGAAGACACGTCCCTCCCCATGCCCCAGTAGAGTTATACCACTGTCCTATTGAAAGCGGTTATGTATAGGGGGAATCAAAATATAGATTTTCTTTATTCTGTTTCTAATCAGGCTTACAAAATCGTTCAAATCGCTTTTAAAACGTGCAAGGACATAGTAATTATCTTCTTCTTTTTGTTTAATATAGGTCGTCAGATTTTGGGGATATCTTTGTATATGCTACCCAAAAAAATCTCGGACAAGCCATCCTCCCCCCCCCCCAAAAAAAAATGTATATATAACCCCCCTCTTTCTCTAATTCTTGTTCTGTCTCATTCTCTTTCTTTCACACACACCGACACACAGGCACTCTCTCCCCTCCCCCTCCCCCCTCACCCTCCCCTTTCTCTCTCTCTCTCTCTCTCTCTCTCTCTTTCTATCTTTCTCTCTCTTGTTTTTTTTTGTTAATGCATTCTCTCCACCTTCTATCTCTCTATTTCTTTCTTTGTCTTCGTTATTTTGTTGGATGCATTCACGAATAAAAAGGGGGAAATGATAGGCAAAGAAGGAGTATACAGTTCGGACGTTTATTAACACCGTAATTCTATACCACTCCGTGTCTACGACAAACTGTAATACATTGATGTAAGTATGATTTGTCAAGTTCCACTAAACACCACAATCTAACTACTTAAGTTATAGTTATATATATATATATCTATATAGAGTCATTATAAACACACGTAAATTTTCGTATAAAATCACACTTTTCATTCGTAGCAAATTGTTAACGTTTATCACAATCCAGTAAAACAAGTCACGTGGTTTCCACTATAAAATTGACATGATAATAAGACGTGAATACACAACTTTCCAGACGTTAAAATATAATCAACTTTTGAGGTACTCTACACGTTATGTATGTATATCCAAAGTTACATGGAAAATATGGTAATGACGTTCATAAATATTCATATATTCAAGCATTATAAGTATAAATATTCAAATCTGAATGAAAAATAGTATATAGAAATATGATGACACCACTCTCGTTTCGTAAATACATCCATCCCGTATTGGTACAAGCTGCATATCATGCAGTACTGCCAAACATTGGCAATACCGTTACCATGGTTTATACAGATAGATTCTCTGAGACTCCCCTCATAAACTTTTCTGCTAGTAGCCTATACTTATTTTCCAACCAATATGATTTCTCTAAAATAAAGCAGCTGTGATAAACGTGCCATAACAGGCACACAATCTTACTTCAAATCAGACTTGCATATATATATATATATATTTAGGCCTTTTACGGATTAAAAATTGAAACTGAATTTTTAAAAGCCTGTACGATTCGAAAGATGTTAGATTTTCTCTCCTGGCCCAAACTATATACAAATTATTTGGTATTCAAATAGAAAGGAATCAGATGCTTTGTTTTGATTTGTTTCGTTTCTAGACCAACAAATAGTATTTTCATCAAAGCATGATGAAGCTGGTTTAAGCGAAAAAAGTTTCACGATTTAAACAAAGAATTTTTTTTTTAATTCTAAAATTCCTTCAAAAATTATTTGAATGCACTTAAGCTTTCCTCCTTTGCATTATTCAATTGTCAATACAATATACATGACTAGTACATCAAAGATTTATCATCGAAGATATATGATAATTTAAAGATAAGAAAATAAAGTTGATTTTTATCATTTTTGTTTAAATTTCCTTTTCCTCTCCTCTCCTCCAAACCACTACGATCATCTTCTTAATATCCCTTTTTTCTAAGTCTTGTTTAAAATTTTGTTCCTCCTTTCGTTTGGAAGGGAACAAATGATGTTATTCATCAAAAATGTAATCAATCGGTTCATATAGTCTGTCATATACCTATTTGATGTGTTTTAAACAATTAACAAGAAACATGATAACCACATGTCTTAAGTAACATTCTGTACTCTGATTTGCAATAGCTCTCTAAAAATGGATAACAAAACTTTTGTTTATTGAGAAAAAAATAGGAGTAATGCTTTGAAACACATCCTGAGCAATCTGAACCAACTGCGTGCTAAACGAAGGTCCACTCTCCTAGTGTATACACATATAAATGTTTCTTTATCTAAAAAATTTCCTACGAATGAGAGTAAACAGAGCATGGTTATAATATAACACCAGGGGAGTGTTTCACAAAGACTAAGATCGACTTTCAGTTTGACTTAAATATGGCAGGCCGTTCATACCTCTGTTTGCTCTCACCATTATGATCTTTAGATAATATTTGTTGCCATATATAAGTCCAACTTTAAGTCGACCTTAGTCTTTGTAGATCTTGCGTTAACATATTTTTTTCTATTTTTATAAGTTGATGGATAAACAGCATTTTCTGTCGTTAATTTCGGACATATTTCGCTTTGGATGCTGGAGTAAAATGAAAGACCAAATAGTGCTCCAAGTAGAAGAATAAAGAATTGTCGATGGGCATTAATTCTTTGCTTTCCAATCTATTTACCTAGGCACCGACCCCCCCCCCCCCCCCCCCCCCCTTATGGCGCTATATAATTTGCCAATGCTATTCTTAGACTCCTAACCAGCGTTCCGTTTGTTCTAAAATGCATTCCTAAAGAAGAGATCTCTATACCGTTCGTTGTATCAAAGAAATAACCTTCTTATGATTAAGTAAACAACAATAATAATAAACATCATCAGATCAGACACAACACCAAAATATTCATAACTTTGTAAACTGTTCTTTATATATAATCATGATATAAAACGACAGCAATAATGAGAACATCTGCACTGTTAAACTGTTCGAAGTATATGGTTACACTCAAGTAAAAAAAAAAAAATACGATATCAAGAAATGATTTATATAAACAAAGCAATTAATTTATTTTCCCATACAAACCGTACCCAAACACCTTTCGTTTTGCACGCTATATACTCGTCTTCAAGACAGATTCAATTGCAAAATTTAGCAATTCGATAATAAGAATAATAGTAAAAGGTATCAAAGAATTATTGCTGTAACGTATACATCACAAGTAAAACTATCAACATGTGATAACTTTTATGAAAAGTATTGATATATCAACTTAGAGGTCAAAAGGAAGCAAAAGACCCATTATTCCACTTTCATTCAGACACTTAACAACAAAAAGGGTATAAATTTAATCCCGTTCCCATGTTTGTACCTTTATTCAAAAGCACACGAAGCGTCATTTCGAGGCTGCGTCCATACCTGCGCTATTCAAGCCTGTGGAGACAATTAGTGCATAAACTACTCATTTAAAGCGATGCTTTCTCTGTTTATTTCTCACTCACTTTCTGTATGGCATCTCTCTGACATGGTGCGTCAAAGGGCGCGTCAAAGGGCGCGTCAAAGGCCGCGCCAGTCGCTGACGCAGTCATACGTCACGCTTCGTGCGCTACGTTCTCTATCGACCCAAAATGAGCAATGCTTGACATAGCAATCTAATTTATTGTCCATGTATAAACGTTTTCATCACCCGATTCTTATTACAATAATGTTTATTTGTTCCATATTCATACATTATATGCGATGATCATCATATTTTCCCTTCATGTTAATATCCAATAAAAGTAATGAGTAACTGAAAATGAACAGTCACCCTAAAACACCCTGGTTAAAAATCCATGTCTACTTGCATGCCCAGCGAAGCAGCAGGTTGGGGGCTAAATTGAGGGAACAGGAGTACCTCCTACCCCCCCCCCCCCCCGTCATTGTTTGACTGTCCTGAATAACACTCCTGCATAAACAGACTATGGCATGGAATTTAATATTCGACATAATGATGACCCATTTCTTCCTTTCCCACTCCACGAAAACCCCAACAAAATTTGGGATTAATCAAATGTTTCTATCATACTTTTTTGTCAGAATAGATAGTAGGCCTAACTCATGTTTCACAATAATTTTTTGTCAATATTATGAAAGAGGAAAAAAACCTTGATCATTATTTTGGTTACGTGAACATATATCATACCTAAGAGCCGAGTGTAAAACTTCCTTATTGCTAACAACTTGGCATGGTGAGGCAGGACCCTCTAATGCAGCTCAAAATATCACATCCATTTGTACAAAGAAATCATAAGAGTATGAATATCGAATACATTTTGCTCCTCCATCCTTCGATCTCGTTGAAACACAGTTTTCATCGTTTTTCTTCTCGCACATGCTCAGGAGAATGACATTGGTTGGTTGACATGAAAATCTGAAAGTCGAAGACGTAAGTGGAGAGGGCGCTCGGCTGAAATCCAAAAAATACTAACGAGAAATCGTCAAAGTCTCGTTGAAACCAGCTAACACTAAATTCGGTAGCGTATAAATGGGTGGATAAGAACGAGGCCCACCCAGACTCTCTCCATTGGTCTACCTATAGCTTTTTGCCCCTATTCGTGAAATATTCTAATTGGCATGACTGGAAATTAGTGTTTTTTATCCCCAGCATTTATGATGAACCGTTCGTGAATTAATGATACGTAAATAAGTTTGAAGAAATTGAGGGATTCATTACTTAACGGCCAATACCATTTCTGAAACGAAAATGTCTGTAATTGTTGTCAACCCATAACCATTGGATTAAATGAAAGGGAAGAAAGAAGAATGTCAAAGTTCGAAACTTGGGAATCAACAAATGGATCCACCTGCACTCACAGTCACAGAAATCTTTACCAGCCAAGATCTTAGCGCTAAAACGGAGAATGCTCACAAACCCACATATCTCCGTCATTGCGAGAAGCGGTGTATCGTTCAGAAATATCGTGATCGATAGTGAGCATTGTAGGCGTCCAATGGTCTCTTGTCGTCTTGGTCATGTGCTTGACATGGAGATTGGACAGCAAGACGATGCCTTGCCACGTGCAATCCGGGTAAGTTCGTTTCTTTTTTTCATGATCAACGCTTGGATTCACCGCGATCTTACCTCGATTTGATATCACACTGGACGAATTTCTGTTTGGCATATATAGGAAAGAGATAACATTGATAGAGTTCAGGTGATTGACAATGTCCGAAAGGGGGGACTTCATTCACCGCCCATCACATTGTGCATCCTTGTTATTGATGTAGTGTGCAAACTCTGCCTTCCAATTCACCATGTGTTTTGTGTACCATTTACTGAACTCTTCTTTCCACTTTATTTCCGTCTCTTTGATATCTCCTGTAGAACGTGAAGAGAAAAGATAAAGAAAGATGGTGGATAAATAAAGGGGAAATATAAAGAGGTCCTGACTTCACGAAGGTGGTTCAACCTAAACCGATTTACTTTAGTCAGCACAATTAATAAATAGTACGAATAATATTAACATCCAAAATATAGACCAAAAGGAAACTCAGTAAACCTTTTCAAAATGGACAAAGCTTTGTTCCTTCTTTTTTTTTGGTGTGAAATCGAATTTCACGTCCGTCCATGTATCGCTTTACAAGTAATCAAATTTATTTAATGTCAGCTACATAATGGTTTGTTTGTAAACTATTGCTCGGGCATATAAATAACGAACAAAGTTTTGCTCATTTTGAAAGGATGTTCTGTTAAAAACACAAAATTATTATTTCCTTCTTTAAGGGTTTCTTAGATGCTTCAGATGTTTAAACAAAAATATTTTTAAAAATCCGAGGACCCTGAAGAGGACAATTTTAATTACTTTCAGCTGTCAATATTTATGCTAACAAAATTATGAGTAGAATCAAAGGCATGTCTAAATTATGAAGATTTGAGGCCTGAAAAAGTGGAAAGAATATATTCATGTCATGAAACATTGATTTAGTTTTCTGTTAATGTGCATAATTTTTTTTTTGGTAGTTCATTCTGGTTCTTTCTCTTTCTATTATACTGCCCTCTGTAGGTCGAAATTGAACATACCAATCGGATAGCTATGTGGCAGCAACCAACACACATTCTAAATTGGTGAAATAAAACAGCGAGACAATCTGGCCTAGGTGCAGGGGCGGTTTCTGGGTTTTCTGGAATTTGGAGAGGGAGAATTTTTTCCCGACAGCACTTTCACAAGAACAAGATACCTCTCTGGGATAGCCTCTATAGAAGTTGCAACTATGATGATCATTTCACTTTGAAATGAAAAAATATATTCACCTGTTTGTGTTTGTAACGTTGGTAAATAGTCTCTCCAGAATGCGCATTTGTCAGCCTTGGGTCCTCTGCCCACCGAAGGATTGTTGTTCGCCAGGTCTTCAGTCAGTTCCAGATACTTTTGCTTATTAGTCGTGTACTCGGGCCATTCACCGGAATCCGGATCGCTATCCGTCATCTTGTTTGGGTTTCTAAAAGAGGACAACGAACGGAGAGGAAATAGAAAGGAAAGGGATGGAATAAAGTTCTGGTATTGATTTTTACGAAAAAATGAATGCGCAGAATGGAAAGGAATGGAATGGAATGGAAAAACAACAAAAACAGATATGAGAATGGGAAACTATGTGATTGTTGTGTGTGGGAAAGTCAAAGGTATCTTGTTCTATATACGTTACCGACTACATCAAAGGTTTCTAGAATACCTGACGATTGTAAGTAGTTAATAACCATGTAAACCCCATTATAACTTTTCTTTGAATAGCAGTATTATTAATTTCAGCATCAATTGCAAGACTTGGGATGTGTTTACTGCACATATCCATTTGTTCAAAATAATTGTTAACACGTTTTGGTCATCTTGTTTCCCATGATGATATAGACTAATGTTTGTATTTGGGCTCTCTGTGCATTTTTCAAATGGATGGAATAAAAATGTTGGGGCTTTTAAAATATTTATAAGGATTCCGCTAACAACTTTTCAGTCCTCAAGGGTTGTATTCCCTAGGTTACAGCGGATGATCGTATACCTCTTCTTTTCGACCACAAAGTCTATATCTTAAAGCTGTTATTGTTTGAGTGTTGAAGCCCTCGCTGGCCCAATAATGGAAGGTAATTCTCGTATTCAATCCAGAATACAAGGTACGTGAACACGCATAGGACTTCCCCAATTACGAAGGGAATAGAGTGAATTTCTTGCCTCCGTTCTTGTATAATCACTGAGTCAATGGAAAGGTTATATCCTTGGGGATGAGTGGCGGATCCAGACTTGGTGTGGACATGGGCAAAAACTCATTTATTTCTCGTGATAACTTGCCTAGCCGGAGTGCAGTAGATGTATATAGTGAAACCCAGGCGCGTACGCAGGGGGGTGGTTTTGGGGTTAACCCCCCCCCCCCACTCGAGTTTTTTTTATGTTTATGTTTTATGTATGTTTTTTTGGAAACCCCCCCCCCCCCTTTGATTTTAAAACCCCCCCTTGAAAAAAATCCTGCGTACGCCACTGGTGAAACCTGTTTATAAAGTCCACCCAAAGGAAACCAGAAAACTGCTTCATATTAGAAGGAGACATTATAGGTGACCGCTATATAAAGGTGCCCACTAAGGCACGTTCGACTATATAAAGTGTGTGTGGGTTTTGTGTGTGAATTTGTGCGTGTGTGTGTATTCTCTCCTATCATTGTACTTATCTCCACCAGAGTTGCCAAAACTGTGGCATGGATTATGTCCTTGCATTTTATATTAATGATCATCACATATGTCCTCCAAATTTCATGACAAGTAAATTAATCATGAACATAATACATGTAACAATAATAATAGTAATGATAATGGTAATAAAAAGAGCGAAAGTAGTAGTATTGGTATTAGGGGCACAAAAAGAAGAAGATGAAGAAGGGGAAAAGAAGAAGAAGAAGAAGAAGAAGAAGTAGAAGAAGAAAAGAAGAAGAAATGTGAGAAGCAAAAATAATATATATATATCAATTTAAAAAAAAAAATATATATATATATATTATTAAAGTACTTGGAGAATTGCTAATTATTTCAAAATTTAATGGATCTCTATAAAACTACAAGGGAACATCTAATTACCCCCATACCGAAGCACATAGAGGCAAGACTTACCCAGTTTTGGCAAAATTGGCCCAGTAGGTCATCATTTTTCGACTAAGCGCCACTTCGATATCGGTGTAATTCCGCTCTGCGATCAGAGGCATTCCAAAGATATAAAGAATCTCATCACCGTGAAGAACCCCCATCCAATCTGGCCAGGGGCTTGTGGAGTCCCTCTCGAGGAATCTGTAGTAATAAACCTTGTTGTTAGCGGAGGCATAGGAGTAGGCGAAGTCGTAGGTGGAGCACGCGAAGAGGTAATCACCGGCAGCGAAGTCCACACCGTCTCGCAGTTTAACGGGATCGTGAGGAGCCAGCCACTCGGTATATTGGAAAGCGATGGCATCTTGACCAAAGCTGTTGACCCTCGGAAAGGAGTACTGCAGAGCGTCGTAAAACTGATCTCTGTTGAGCAAGCTCTCGCTGTCCTTGTCGAAGCCTGGTACTTCATATATGATGAAGAAGTATGCCTCGTTTAAATTGCTACCCAACATGATTTCTCCGTCCTTAAAGGATCGCCTTTCTAGCGATGTCCGTGGGGTTTCTGTTATAAATGTGCCATCTACGACCGGTGGGAAAGGGAACTCGCAGAAGCCATCTGTGATTTCAAACTGCTTCAAGAGGATTTGGGTGACCTCCCTTGTTCTAATACAGTCTACCATCTGCGGAATGGTTAGCTCAACGCCATTATTACCTTCACTGCATTGTAATTTCTCCGCTAAGAGCTTGCCTCTCCTCAACCCCTCATCGTGGTCGACGGTGGCCCAAGGCGCCGTGGCAGCAGAACTCTGCATGATAGCTCGTTGAAAAAGATTGCGACTGATTGGGGACAGCAAGTGTAGAGATACACTGGCGGCACCGGCGCTCTCTCCGAAGATGGTCACTTGGTTAGGGTCGCCTCCAAACTCGTGGATGTTATCCTGCACCCACCGCATGGCCAGAGTTTGGTCCATTAGACCTTGGTTCCCAGGTGAACTGTCTTGTCCCATCGCTAAGAATCCCAAAGCTCCCAAGCGGTAGTTCATGGACACCACCACCACATTCTGTTCAGCAGCTAGGTATTGACCATCGTACACGTCTAATGACGAAACACCGGACAGAAAGCTACCACCATAAATCCAGATCATGACAGTGGCTGCCTGCGGCCTTGGGTAAGGCGTCCACACATTCAAATTTAAACAGTCCTCACTTAATCTAACTGGTGAGTTCCACATCTCCGATCCCCTGAAACCGGGGAAAGTCTCATCGGGGAAATGAAAGCACCCGTAGCCATAGTATGTGGCGTTTAATGTGTGATCAAACGGTCGCTTGGCTACGGGAGCTTTGAATCGGAGATCATCCACAGGTGGTTCGGCGTAAGGAATCCCCAGGAAAGCGTCCACCTGTCTGTTCGGAGCACCGACAGCAACGGTCGTGAGTCTCTTCCCTAAGACCTCGCCAACATTGGTGTTGACCTTGAGGTCACGTGGGATGTCCGTAGCGGACGCAAGCCCGATCACGAGCAATAGAATAATGAGAAATACGTCAGGAATCATGGCGATGGGATGGAATTATGGGATGCATACACCTGCAAAAAGAGAAATACAAAAGAGAGAAGAAAAAAACGCAATAATTTCTCTGCCGTATTAACTCTTTCAGACGAAAAAAAAACTAAAGATAAAAAAAAATAGTAGTTCGGTGGATCTTCCCTGCGCTCTCAGTCTCTGAAAACATACCACCATCAAATGTATGCAGTTTTTAATGTATTTTTCGAGGAAAGGATAAGAACGTCAATAATGATGGTTAGGAATTACAAACACTACTTACTATCAATAAAGTACATGTACTACCATCAAATATACTCAGTTTTTATTGTATTTTTCTAGGAGAGGATAAGAAAGACACTTAAATGCGAGGTTAAGGTACTACAAATAGTACTGTCTGCCTTTAACTGATCTCAATCTGACTGTTTTTTTTTTTTTCTTTTAAAACAATTAATCATATACGCCATCTGTTCTTTGATTTTCAACACAAGGTCCATGTACACTAAGGTCCAGATATCGAGAAGGGACGGTGTTAGCTGCATGCTTAGCAAATATTTAGTAATCAACATGCAATGTTGATTACTAAATATAGCATCATTAACATCGTGATCTTAATCATGTCAGAAAAATCGTAATGTTTAGACATGTAGTTGGTAGATACTGTTTTCGCTGGGGCTGCTGGTGGGTGTCCTTTCACTCCAAAAGAAAAAAAGACTTGACAGTTCCCTAGAATCCAGTATCCACTGCATCAACCCCAGGAAGGGGACTCTTTCATGGGGTACTTCCGCAATCACAAGTACCTTGGGCTTCAAGATCCATTCTGTTTGGACCGAAGTGCTAGTGACCAGGGCCCTGTTTCATAAAACTTGGTATCAAAGTCAAGTTACAATAACTGTTATAAGCTACTGAAATCATGGCATTTGATTGGCTGGGAGCAAATTTGTCATAGAAATTTAGCATTTGTTATTGATAATAAGTTTTATGAAACAGGGCCCATATCGTTCATATGAAATGATGATAAGTATCAGCTGTAGGTCCCTGATCGAATATGTAAGAGCATACGTATGTTGTATTGGCAGTGAGGTTAAACAAATATTTACAAAATTTAAATTAAAAGAAATCGTACATTCCCATCGTTTCAGGTACTGCTACGGGTACTTCAAGAGATTTTGCTCGGACCGAAGTGCTAACGATCAGATTTTGTACTGTATTATACACATTTTTTTTTAAATCATAAGAAATTAAAACGATCAGCTGTAGGTTCCTGATTGCTTACGTAAAAGCAAACTATGTTTATGTTGTCTTCGCAGCCAGGTTATAACAAGCGACACACCAAATCATACGTTCCCATCCTTTCAAGGCCTGTTACGGGTATATCCTATACGAGATGCTGAGCTGAAAAACCGAAGTGATCAGAAGCCCAACTGTGAATAGGCAATGCCCACTCGATATGATTAGAACATTATTCTTAAAGGAAAGAAACGTTAGCGTTTTCTAGTATTGTCTAATTTCCTTTAATCTCCTTAAATCCTGACACCACAGATCTTCTTAAGAGCTAACTACCCACTTAGGATGGACACTTTAACCTATCTTTCAATCGAATACTACCGTGTACTATTGACTGGCTTCATTCACGCTTCCCATAAACCATCTCAGTACCGTAGGTCCCGATACGTTGCATGACGTTAACGGCACCTGTGGCTTTCGGCAGGGAGAGGGTTTACGTCGTCGGCGACGCTTAGAAGGGGTGGACTAAGGGACCGAAAGGGGTGCATTGTGAACGGTAAATTGTACCTCTCGGGTTTGATAATAGACTAGAGGCGTGGATTAGATTAGGACACAATTGCAGTAATTACTAGTGGTCCAACTGTCCAACTATTCATGAAGTGTATAGAGGGAAAATGGCGCGCTTTTCGGTCGCCTCGAACTTTGAGAAGCTTCGTTTGGCATTGGGAAACTTGGCGATAGTGGAGGCTTAGTTATAGTTGTTAAATAGTCGTTTTGTTTCGTGAGAAGAAAGATGACATTGGTTTACTTCTGTGAGATATCAGTAGTCTGCATATGAAACCATATGCATATGAAGAGAAATATCATGCACAACATACTGAGCTTCAATCACAACTCATATGCATGTACACTCTATGTTCAATACAAAACAATTGTAAAATTGTAATGCTACATTGAGCATTCATTCAAAAACACAACAATTGGTAGCCATAGAAAGCAATTCTTCTCTTTATATTTTATACATATTCTCCATATTCCTAGAATAACAAGGTGAATTCATTTTGCCGACTGGTTATTACGATAAAAGGATGAGATCAACAAAAATAAGGCTTCTTGATCCCAGGAAACATGGATAATTGTTTGTTTGGTTAGTTGTTTGTATGTTTAGTTTTATGTGTTTGTTTGCCTTTTTGTTTCATTATGTTTTCAGGATGGATGAAACTAAGATACACCCCCACTTTAGTGTATGTTTCCTCAAATAAACAATGTAGGATTGGGTACCTTTGTCCCATTCTTCTAGTGTCCTCGAGCAGTTCAGAGAAGACATTTCGTGGATGAACATGTAAGGTTTCAATAACTCCCTTCAAAATCCAGCAGTATAGTGTGCGTCAATACCAGCTTTTCACATTCTAACATCACATAAATACATCTTAGCTCTTCGCTACAGCAAAGCGAGACACTAAAAAATATATATTTAATGCATGAATCTTTGATAAGTGCCATATTACAAATTATTTCATTATTCAAACATTATCTCATGTCCAACCTAACAACACGTAAGGTACATGTATGCAAGTGGTATTCTTACTATTGAAATATAATTATTCACAATTATGTGAATGAAATAATGTGTTACATGGCACTTATCAAACATTTATGCATTAACTTTTATTACATGACCTATTAAATAGTCCCCGAATAGAATTAAATGTGCAGACATTGCTGCGAACTTGTAGTAAGTATGGCGTTCGACATTATTTTGCAAATAACATGAAAGGAGAATGATAACGAATTTGCAGGATGTAGAGGAAAGACCCCCTAAGTCTCTTGAAGTCATTTCAGGGGCTTCATCCTCGTTCCAGCAAGCATTATAAGATTGGCGGGTTTCAATGCATTTCAGAACAGACCAAGGGGGTGTTTCACAAAGATCCTAAGTTGAACTTATCTCTCAGTTGGACTTAACATTTATGGAAAGCCGTTAGCATCTATGAAATTGTTTGTAAAAGTTATTTTGAAAGGCATAAAATGTTGATTCAAATCATTCATATTTTCTATCATCAACGAAATTTCATGTGCTTAATGTGGAAATTATGTAAAGTCTAAAATACTTGAATATTTGCTTTTGAATATATTTTATTTTAAGGCTACAAATGGCGCTCCATAATGTTTTAATCCAACGTAACGTTAAGTTTGACTTAGGATCTTTGAGAAACCCCCCCCCCCCCCAGATGTAATAATAGGGGTGCTCAGAACTGCTCATCTGTTGGAAAACAAATAAGACTTTTACGAGTGCGTCTCTTAACCGGTTGACTACTGACATTTCGAATTTCCGTAGGCTTAAAACAGGGACCACCAGGATTCAGTAGACAGTGGGTTTAGATGAGGGAGGGAGCATGGCACCCATACCATTATGATAAGAAATATGATTTTCTTATGAATCCAACCTACACTATAGTGTACAGAAAACAATTCATCAACACATCTTAATATTGACACTGGATTCGTCTATATTGACATGATAGCCTGTTCGATTTATCTGTTAGCAAATAGGACAACAGTAAAGAGTTTAATTGCAAAATGCAATACTTCGAAGAAAAAAAATTGCCCTTAGTGTATAACATGGCTGCAAAAAGTGAAAGCTATATTTCCTTGAACTTACATTGTACTAACTGTAAGTTTCAAATGCTTTTTGTTTATTTTACTTTTTTTAATGTATGTTATAGCTGAAGCCTAACGTTTAGAATACACATCTTATTTACTGTTCAGTCGGTTCCATTATGTAGGTGAGAGAATATTAATGAGATAACCTTTTGAATACAGTCACCAAAAAAGGAGGTTACGGCTCTCACTCGGCTACAATACTTAAGATCGATTTCTCAGCGGATAGAGAAAGGGCCAGAGAAGACGGTTGCTGAATGAAGTCCATCTCTTCGCGTTTTCATTAAGAGGCTCTCATTGATTGGCTTCCTAAGACCGAGGTATTGTACCACGGTGTCCCTATTGTTCACAGCGTAAATACGGAAGCCCGACTGTGGGAAAATATGTTTACAGGGATTCACACGTAAGAAGGGAACCCATAAAGGGTGGTTGTAGGGGCGGTGCCTGGAGGTTCATCCACTAGAACGGTAGAGGCTGGGACTGGTCAACACCTCGTCTAAGCACCAAACAAAAATCGAACCTGGGACCTCTTGTACGAGAGCCACTACCATGTTTACCAATACACCCTATTACTCCCACGCAATGAGAACCATGCTGTCTACACAATCGTGACAATGTCCAGTAACTAAAAAGGAGAGCAGTAACAATGGTCTTAATCATTTCGGAACTGACCAATTCGCAGCTAATTAATAGGGCCTCTCAAACAGGCGCAAAAATGCCAGGTGGATAACGATTGTTCGTTATGATATAACTATATACACAGAGCCGGAAATAATACATTTTCTAACCAGTTTAAAATGCTTCAAATGTCAGTGTCATCGTTAGATAAACAATCGAGTTACAAATAAACATGTCAGACTCCTCTGAACATGTAAACAATTTTTAATTTTAAGAGGATGAAGACAAATTGAGTACTGGTGACGCTGGTTATGCCATTACATTGTAAAATATATTGTCTTGGTACAACTGCATGATGAAGTTTGGTTATACAACATGAAAGTTATTGTAAGCAATGAGGTTTTGGAGTACACAAAATGAGAAGAAATTGACTTGTTATTTATGTTAATCACGACTGCTCATGTAAACGGGTAAATGGGACTACATGCACAGGTGTGTCATGAACGTTTGGTCCAAAAATCTTCAGCTATTTCTAAATATTTTTTTAACATGATCGCATTTGAGGGTAAAGGCTTCTTAGGGGAATTTCTACTATTATATGTTTCCAAACTGACATACACAATTTGAAAGCTCACGAATCGTTTTTTTCTTTGACAGAGGTAACAGAACTCAACAACCTTCCTGTTAGTCCTTGTCAAGACATATTTATCAGTTTGCTTTCACTAGATTGCCGACAAAGACAGATCACAAAGACTTTCAAAATTCAACATAACTTCGATAGCCTTGCATGTATGTCACCTTTTGAGATGTATGGACGTTAGAATAATGTATTACATAATCCAAAGATAGTCTATACAGACAATACAATGAGGTACTGAAATTACCCTTCCCCCTCTCTCTCTCTCTCTCTCTCTATCACTCTTTCTCCTTATTATCGTACTCCAGGATAATTTCTGGTGACCATACGTCCATAATATATGTGAATGCAAGCATTCAATGAAAACTAAAATGCACGGTAGGCCACTTTACAATATGAACATGCGGTGAAAGCTGTTTAGCAAATGTGCTACTTCTTTTGTCTGCTTCGACAACGATTGATCCGAATCAATCGCAAGTCTATCAATCAATCGCAAGTTTACAGTGAGTCTCCTATCCCATTTGTACATAGCGACGATTGACATCAATCGCAAATAAGTTGCGACCAATCGCAACTGTCTATAAGACAGGGTCCTATGGTGTCGGTCTCGGCCGTTGGTGTGATTGGGGTATTACCATAGGGACATTTAGATTTGCACGTCGACATAGTGGATTGCTACGTGTGACGTCCTTTTAAGGCACTGGCAACGCCTTAAAAGGAGGTCACAGTGCCTTAAAAGGACGTCACACGTAGCAGTCCACTATGTCGACGTGCAAATCTAAAAGTCCCTATTGTTGCCTAGTGTGGACGGGCCCCATGAAAGGTTACAATTCGAGTCACCTATGCAAGTGGTCCTCAGTCGAGACACTCTGTAAGCCTCAATGAATTATGTATACCTGGTAATTGTCTTACCTGAATACATAAATGTACACCTCCATAATGCATCATTCGGTGTAATGCGTTGTATAAACATATCAGACAGCACCCGCCGATTCAGCGTTACAAATGCAACGACAGAAAGGAGTGGGTCTAAACGTAACGTGTAATTACTTAATTTATATATTTATATGTTTCTCTCGTTCTTTCATTATCCCGTCGTATCACTTCCAGCATTTTCCTGTTTATTTTCATTTTTCGTATATTTAGGTGTTACACTGTACCTGCCTCATGCGTAAGCCGATTCGGATGTCCATTAGGGCCCCCACCCCCTTCCCCATCTCTAATTACGGGTTTTGTCCCTCCCTCCATGTCCCCCTCTTCTTACAAAAAAATATTTGTCTACCCTTTATTTCTACCGTCTCCGTCTCTCTCTCGATCAGGCGTACATCAAAGTAGCACTTTAAAGCTTTGCGATTCTAAACGACATTGAAAACAATTTAAGCCCTGTGGATGTGGAATGTGGGGGTGTTATTGATCGAAGGCCTTATAACCAGGCATGAAAAGCTAAATTGTTCTCTACCTTTATACCTAAACATTAATCAAAATATCTACAATTCATTCATTCATTCACTGAGGTATTCCATTTAGTTGACACGACCTACGTTTACAAAGGTTTTACAATTGTAACTGTTTATTTTGTGTCCCATCCTTGGTCACTTCAGATTATAATCACAGCCAATGAAATTAAACGTGAGAGGCCACGAAAACTTGAACAGGATACTTTCTGCTAAAAATTGATAAGTGAGAAAATTAAAATAGGCTTCAAGCCTGGGGAAATCGTCGAAGCATACGCCGTGTATGTGCGTTGATTATTGTAATCGTGCAACTATAGTTAATTCCATTTGCTGATGAAGTTTGATCAGTTGTATTCATAATTATGATCTATAATAAAGTCTATAGTCAATAAGATTTGAAGGGGATACACGAAGTTACAGATGTTTATTTGTTTCAATGCATTTTCGAACCCCTATTAGCATCCAAAGTCCTTGAATCAATTTCGTCAAGAAAATGGCACTAAAAACTTGAAGTAAACAACGGTCGGTAACAAACAAAAAATTCATAGAGCAAACTCACCTAAAATATCAAGTATTAAGCAACACTTTCATCATTTCTCCAACTTGTTTTACTCTCGTTGTCAAATTGATCAAAAATACTTCGTGTATCCAATGAAACACATTAATTCACAAACATGTTTCCCACCGATTGTCGTAAAAGCGTAAAATCTCCAGCAGGCAGCTAACAGTGAACGCATACACACGATAATAAACAATGACAGCGTATTAATGTTCGTGCAAGTATGGGGATTTAAAAAAACAGAACAGCAATGTGCTGATGGAGCTGAGTTAACACATTGATGGCTGTACACGCGCGGCATGTTAAGAGGCAAAAAGTCGCTCTGTTTTTTATCATAAGGCACAGCATGATATGTTACCTCACTGCAACCTCTTACCTCGATCCACCAGCACTCCAGCGATTGACTCACCCGAAACGACGGGGTTACAACAACTCCAAGAGCCACCCAAAGTTCAAAACGAGCAAGGGCGGTGTTCCAACTTTCACTTGAACTCTCTCTCTCTCTCTCTCTCTCTCTCTCTAAAAAGTGTCGCCGACGAATAGTTAATGAAGACTAATGAAGCTCATAAACACCTACTCCTTGTCCAATCAGAGAAATAAAGGCAAGATGGAGTCGTCGGGAGGACTTAGACGCTGACGAACTCTTTGGGACGACAGTGTTCTGAGAGAGTACATAACGGTACGAAACGGTCTACGTAACTGCACAAAAGACGGATTGGTTCTTGAAACGCTCGATCGCATCGTTTGAGGTTTTAACGTCGCTTTGTTGAACGAAGGAACCGCTTCAAGGGCTTTTGAAGCAGAAGAGAAGGAGGAACAGTTGGATAGGAACAATCCATAAAGTGACACATTTAGCCCGCGGTTTATCGGTGAAGGGCTTAGTGCTGGCCTTTCGGTTCTTTTGGTCAAAGGGGAAAGGGAAAGAGGATTAGATTACAGAAACAGGAAGAGTACCATTGGTCAATTTGAGCAATATTAAAGTGTTTATCTTGGTTCCTATATTTCCAAAGTTAAGATACATGTACCATGGTTTAATGATAGCTAGCACCATGATAGTTAGAAGCTAAATAGTTAAATTGAGTATTGCTCTGCATTCCCGAATCCTGTTTCAACCGTATACACCCCTATTTCACTCTTGTATGTGGTTTATAAAGAGGCAAAATCAGTAGTATGTTTTCTTCCACCGATACTAGATGTTGTAATGTAATGAAATAGATCAACCAAACATGCAACGCATAATCGGATATGCCTCCAGCACTGAAACGTTGTAGTTTGGCATACTTTTAGAATTTCAAAGATTATATTATTTTCAAATTAATCACACTTATACTATGTACTAACTTATCCAAGCTTAAGTTCTGTACGCTCCCAAAGAATCAGTCTTCGATCGAAAAGTAGTTTTGTATATTTTACCGTAGAGGGCCATATAATACACAGTTTGCCGAAGTTTTACACCCCGACGATCACAACCAATCGCCCTACATGCCCTACATTCCACAGGTTTACTATCGGTATGCACTCTTTACCTAAGGCAGTGGTGTAGCAAAGGAGTAGGCACGAGGGTACGCACCCCTCCCCCATATTCACATCCATCCCCCACTACCCCCACATTTTATTGTCCAGGTAAAAAAGACGCCCCCCCCCCCCCTCCCAGGCCAATAGCCCCTTACTGGATGTACTCACGCCACGCCTCTGACCGAAGGGTATGGGGACGGGTCACTTGAGGTGCAGAATCATGCTAAATATCGATCCAAGATATTAGTAGGAGAAATACCCGACACGCAACCCGACATGTCAGTATGTGAGATCACACTTCAGTTTTAATCTACATCGGGATCCCCAGAACCATGTGAACTATACTTCTACAAAACTATCTATATCTATATTTATAGTTTAATTTCTATCTTCTCCTGTTTTTTTCTCTACCTTATTCTTTCTCTCTTTCCCTCACTATCTCATGCCACTCGTCATTTCTCTCGCCCTCTCACCTTTTCTTTGTATCCCCTCCTGTCTAGTAATCAGTTTTATCATTCTCTTCCTTTATTTATAATTCCTATCCCTTTTTACCTTATGTTCCTTCTTTCCTTTTCTCTCCGACTAAAATTCGCTTTCTCTCTCTCTCTCTCTCTCTCTCCATCTCTCTCTCCCTCTCTCTCTCTCTATTTTTATTTCCATATCTCTCTCCCCTCCCTTACTTTTTTGTGCATTTCTATGTTTATATTTGCTACAAATCGGGTATGATCCGTTTGTAAATTATAAGTGTATAATATCTAAATTCATTGGTTTTTGTTTTACCTTGCATCGCTTTGCATGATGTATGTAGAAACCACTTAAGTTAGCTGTCTAGCTAAAAAACATTTTTAATAACAAGTACCATTTCAATCAATCAATCAAATGCCATATTGACATCATTATATTGACAGAGAAATGTCACAAAGTTCAAGCTGATTTTTAATGATTAAACATATATAAACGTCAGAACACAGATTAAGTATAAACATATAGGTCGGGACAATTCAGAATATCATGGAAACGGACCTAAGTCGTATAATGAAATCAGAAAGTGAAAACAAATGTTTATTTATCACTCATATTTAAAAAGGGTGGCACCGTCAGATGATTTGGTTTTCGATGGTGCCCTCTACATGAACACATAACAATTACAAATGAATACAATCCAACATAAATATGCTCATTTTAAAGTTGAAACAGTTCTGGTATATTGAAGAAGACAAAAATTAATCACACAGTTTCATACTTACTTTCGAGTCAAATAAAACCTCATTTACCTTATGGTTTAGAAATGTCGAGGTATTACGACTTGTGCACTGCAATGCTTTCATCTCAACGCAATATTGATGTATATCAATAAACTCTTATAAATCTAACAATACAGATAAAAGCTACTGATTGGATTAATAGAAATCTCTTCCCTGCGGATATTAAGCATTAAAATATTGAAATTGTTATAACAACACAATTTATAATATGATTGTGTTGTTATAACAATTGTAATCATGTTATTATAATTTGTTTAATGATGACTGGCGGTGCCATGACTCACGTTCAACATATTCAATATATTCTTGTCTTTCACAGATGGCTTTGATATGGTTGACAATAGGAGGGAGAGAAAATAGACCTGGGGCTGTTACACAAAGACTAAGATCGACTTTAAGTTGGACTTAACTATGGCAGGCCATTCATGCCACTGGTTGCTCTCACTATTAGTCTCTCAATTATGATCTTTAGATAATATGTTTCCCTTCAATAATGAACTATCAAAAAGAGGTATATTCTGTAGATTTGCGACCACAAATTGTACGTCCCTTGAGAAACGAATGCCAGGAATGGTTAGAGGAGCTAGTGGCATGAATGGCCTGCCATAGTTAAGTCCAACTTGAAGTCGATCTCAGTCTTTGTGAAACAACCCCCAGGTACCATAAATGCCCTGCGGCCATTTAGTTGTACAGTTCCAATATATGCATGTACCTGAACAAATATGATTTGAAAAACATAATTTGTCAACCACCGTATTGGCGGGGAGCTGAAAGAGTAACCGAAGAAACACTTCAAAATCGTTTGTATTCTCTACATGTCCTTCATCGCCAACTTTAAAAAGAAAAGAGTTCTGGTAATATGTGAGCTTTCGTATTCTTTGAATATCAGTTCCGAAGAATATATGATAGAATAAATATGTTCACATATTGGTGTACGAATTGAACAATGCATACAACCCATACAAGTCATGTAGTAATTATTTCAGATAGTCATTGTGAAAAGGGGTGTGTTGGTAGTTTATATACTAAAATTAATTTTGCCATAGATACTGTTACAGATGAGTAACGTTCATTGATTTTGATATGTAAAAGAGGAGCCTTACTGCAAACGTAGCAGTTACGTGGTGTATCCGAGGGGTTAGAGGGGGACGCTCCCCCTCCCCCTTCCAACTTCTAAAGCCCACACGGATAAAGTTGGGCGTTACCCTCTATTTCAAAATCCTACATTCGCCACGATATGGTAGGTTTTAGTACAAAGTTCAACTCAGTATGGGAAACACATTTACTCAAACTCTTTAGAATCTCTCTCGATTTAAAGGGACTTCAGGGGCTTAAGGCGAAATCGAGAGTCGGCATAGATGTATTCAAACCATTTGCATGAATGCTGAAATGACTGTACATTCTTTTTTTTGTCACGATTTCAAATCGTCCTTGAAAAGTCTCAAAATGCCGATTTCAAGGGATGATTTTGTGGATTATTTGTGAGCATACAATCCCTGTCTAGAATGGGGGGTTACCTGTACTTTATGCAACTCAAATTCTTCTATAGGTCCTTGAATTTAACGTACAATCGGTTACCGTTCGTCCGGGATCTTACCGGAAAAAAAAACGACAGCACACGAGACCGGTATTGACAAAGGGTTCCCTAAACCGAAAGCCGACGAGACCGTCAACAAAATGAAATATATAAGAAAAACATAAGAAAGTATAGAAAAAACAAAGTTCCAAAAAGACCCCAAGACTGACGGCCAACGAGACGAACAAAACAAATAAATACCCGAGGAAAGATAGAATTGTCGGTATATCGTGTCAGCTTTTGGTCTCGATTACCGTCGCTAAAGTGAGTCGTGCTGTTCGTGCAAAAAGTTGTCACAGGGTCAATTAGACCGACAATGATGGGGTCGTATTCGAAGGCTGTCGTTCCGGCAGGCTGTTGGGCGCGTGAACACTCAGGGTCCAAGAGAGCGACGTTGACAGTCTCCCGGGCTTTCGGTCTAGAGCAAACCTCAAATAAGTTGTCAGAATTAGGGGGTCTAGAGGTATTCCAAGGATACGATGAGCTGATTAAACTTACACCGGCTATATCCAAACATTATGGGGCATTAATGGGCATTTACATTATATTAACGTCATACACGATTCAGTTAATATTTCTAGTTGGTTTGACTCCGGTACACACTGATACAGCTTAAACGAATTTAAGCAATCCTCCATATACCTTTGTATCGTAAACAGTTTAATACCTAAATGATCTTTAGAGGGATATTACTTAAATTGTTGACATGCCACGTCACGGTTTGTTGTTAAATCACGGATGATCCTAAACTTTGAGTAGTTACGTTTTTGGGCGGATTAAAACGTCACGGTCTGGTAAAAGATAGTAAATACGCGATGACAGCCTGATGGACAAAACGAAGAAAACGGGATAAGTAATAGTTTTAGACCGGAAGGATTGATTCTGAGATGGCTTATACCGTGTGAGTAAAACAAAAGTTTACACCTAGAAAATTGCTAATTATTTTAAAAATCATCTATGAACAGTAAATTATTATACATCTAATGAAAGAGTGTGTTATCCCAATTTTAACCGTCATTTGGTGTCATTTTTGTGTGGTATGTGTTCACGCTTGGATGAACAGGAGGCATTGTTTGCGAGAGTGCAAAAATCGACTTGCGCCAAAGTGATGCTTACAGCATGTATTATGTTGGGATTAGCGAAGTGAGAGAAATAAGAAAAGTAAATAAATGTTGAACAAAAAGAACAAATTAACGAAACTATGCACGGAGTAAGCCCCCCCCCCCCCCCCCTCCCCCCTCTCTCTTTCTCTCTCTCTCTCTCTCTCTCTTTCTCTCTCTGTCTCTCTGTCTGTCTCTCTCTTTCTCTCTCTCTGTCTTTTACAGTTTCGGACTCAGAACACACGTACATACACGAAATACTATTATGTAGCATTTTT